CTTGTTTCACTCAGTGGTCACACGGTTCCCTCTACTTGTTCTTTGTTTACCCTTACATGTACACCCACCTTGGATTTGCTATTTATTGGGCTTTCATTTATTGTTTCCGCATCCAATAGGAGCTGAACTGTCAAATTGTACATCATTTATGACGATTCTTTTAGTACTTTATGGGGCCATGGAATTCAAGATTGGGGTACCCTAATGGTTGTCGCTCGATCACTCTTTGTGTGATGTATTTAGTTCCCATCCAAGTGCTTCTTCTGAAGTGCTTTTCTCTTGGGTTGGTTGGTGTAATCCTTCGGAACCCCAGCGCTCCTCCATTTCGTTCTCAGGTCACGTGGTCATACAGTTTTACTGAATTTTAGTGTTTGTGACCTTTCACGACTGCATGGCATTGTGGTTGTATGGTCTTACTCCTCTAGTGTACGTCTGAGGCTTTAACAACTCTGTAGAGGCTTTGATAGCCTCAAGGTCGTACTTCCTTCTTGAATCTTGCTAATACCTCGTAATCTCGGTAACTAAACTTACTCATCAATTCATTGGTCTTATCAAGACCGTCTTTGACCATGTCCAAATTTTGGCCACATCAAGGTAGGACTGCGTTACGAAGTCTTACTCCGTTAGTCAGTTGTTTTTTTTTTTGCCTTTTTGTTCTATATTTAGACCCGTTTGCTCATGCCGAGTCATTAATACCACTGAAGTGGGAGGCTTGAGGGTGGGGTGTGGGTGTAGCATCATCCTGGCGGATGTCCACGTGCTTTTGGTTACTATTTTCTTTTATTCACCTTCAACAAACCTGCACAACGCAACGCAGCACGCCACACGGTGGTGAGTGCGTTGGAACACGGGACGGTCGGATGCTACGCGACGCGACGCGACGCGACGCAACGCGAATACGCACGATTACAAACTGGTTAAGAGTGTGGGGTATGGGATGACTCATATTGACGCAGGTTGCTTACTAATTGGCCTTTGGAGGAGTGTCGGGGGCTATGCCAGTGACTCATGCCCTCTGTCAACGTCTATCTACATTCCCATAGTGGAGATTTGCGTGGAGTCTGGAAAGGACCTCGGACAACAAAATGGGCTCCATTTTTTGCATTCAGTGTCGGGAGTTAGTGAATGTGTTCCTCGGCCTCGTTCTTATCCTTTTCTTATTCGCTTTAGCATGTTAACACGACGACTATTTTTGAATGCAGCAAAGTCGGCTAGTTATATGCTGCTGTCGAAACCGTTTCCGGAGACCGGTATGGGCCGCACACTTCAAGTCAATTGACTTGCTGCGTCTCCTTCCAGTCAAGCTAAGCCACAAATTAGCCCTATTGTGTTGATTCACAGTGGTCGTACTTTGGAATCTGTTGGTTGTTGAAACAGCATACAGGGCCGACAGGCAGCAGTTTTGGGGAGTCACTGATCTCGTTGTTAAGGCTACATCTTGACAACTTCCATCGTTCTATGTAAGTTGCTTTGGACATTCCGAGCCGTTAATGAAGTCTCGGTAGGTCACAGTCATCTAGAAAAGGTAAAATAAATTTTGTAAAGTGCGAGTGCACTAGGAATCCACTTGCCAGAGATTGAAGGAACTCCCCCAGGCAAGTAAATCTCTTCGCCATTGAAAAAGAAAGTCATAGAATTCGTACTTAGGATTAGGAACGGAGTCCTATCGTTTAACTGTAAAATTCATCATAATAAGGCTTGGGAGGAAAGCGCATTCGTGGGAGTGAACTTTTAACTAGCTATTTCTTGCTGAAACACACAACTTCATTGCATTTAAGGGTCATCAACGTCGTCAATGTCGCTGTCCCACCAAGCTCCTCTTCCCTGTGGTGAATGCTCGCCTTCACCTTCCCTCCCCATCTGTTCGACGCCGGCTGAGACATCTATTTGCACTGCGGATCTGGGCACGCTAATGTAAGTAATGTGTTCTTTTCACTTATACACTTTTTAAACATGGATGAGAATTATCAGATTGTGAGGAGTCTCTGTGCATCGGGTGCTTTTCCAATCACTTGTTTTCTATCCTCTCCAATGCTTGGGGCTGGGTGTTCTCAACTTAACGCCTTGGTTTTGCGTGATAATGACCATTTAGGAGACTGGGGCTTTGAAGATTCCAGAAAACTGCTTACAATGAGAGCGGAGTCTACCGCAGTAAGGAATTGATGTCTTCGTTCACGTTTGGGTGGACCAAGTTTAGTGAAGAGGGTCTCTGCGCACTTGCACTGCTTATTCTCCTCTCTCTGCAGTTGCGTAGGCATCTGTCATGCATCGCTCACTTTGGTCAATTGCCGGCTGTTGCTGGAAGAAATGGATCGGGACAGATCTAGCTTTTGCCTTTCGGGTATTTTCTTGATTCCGTTCTTAGCGCTCTCAACTTATTTTCCTTGATCGTATCTGGCGCAGAGAGGACTGCAGTGAGTGTTAGGGCGAGTTGCAAAAAGCATCATTGTATCACGCACAAGAGGGAACAGCATATTCCACATATTTTTCACATCACGGCATACAAATGCACACAAACACGCAGTAAAATAAAATGACAGGTCTCCGGTTCTCTAAAATTAGCTTCTGCGAACCTATCGCCGGTGAAAAGGTCGTGCCCCTTCCTCTTATGCAGTATTTAGCTTCTTGAAGGTTGACGCCACTTTGTGTTTCGGTGTGAACTTGGTCCTCGGCCTGTCATGTATCTTCCTCATATGCTTCGACTTCGCGTCCCCAATGCCACCCTTGTGGTTACGTTGTAGGTGCGCTTTGCATGCTACTGACTTGAGACACTTATGCCAAGCTCTTTTTCACAAATTTACTGGTCAGCTCATAAGTGGATCCTCATCTCCACACCTTGCTGTATCGTGGAATCGGAGTCCAAAGGTTGTGCATTTTGATGACCGAAACTGGCATTTACCTGTAGGTCGACAACTCAGACGGGTAAATACTGAGGTGTGAGACTAGTGTCCTCCTTCCAATTGTTATTAGTTTCAAGGTTTCAAAAAATGCCCACCATAGTAATTCTGTTTCATTTGGAGGTTATAAGTCATAGTCCATGAAGGCAAAGAAGATGCAGATTGGTTTTGTGATTTGGGTCGCCGAAGTCGAATTCCGATGAATGGATGGATGGACGGACTTCTTTCATCTGCTCACTAATCTTAGTATTCCTAATTGTCACTGCCTGCATTTCAGCTTAGTACAAAAATGTAATCCACTGTATACCTTGATTTTTTGTCCTCTGGTCTCTCCACCACCACCGCTACAACCTCAACTGCGGCTTTTATGTTCGCTCGACCAACTGTTGGCATTTGTGTGCATGTACGTACGTAAACATCTGCTTTTCCACTAGTGATTGTTCGCATGACAGACGTCTGTCTAGAAGAAGGCGATACTGATTAATCCTCGCCTACGTACCTCCCTCCCACGTACCTTTATCAGCTATAGTTGTTGTCATCCATGGAGACGTTTTCTTATAACGCTTCCTTTTTTCCGCTCCAGTTTGTGGGCAAGGTGAATCGACTCCCTTGTGGAGACGAAGCTCCGTGCTCAGTTACTTTAGCACCGAAGTATGTTAGTCTCTCTCAACTATCAGTTGATCATAAGTTTAGTTCCAACACTGTAGACCGCGTTCTCCATAGGAACACAATTTCTACCTAATTTCGACCAAGGTTCGGGCGATCTGACTCCAAGTCTAACGAATTTCATCCTAAGGGATGTATATGTTCCTATCTCAACTATGGTTAGTAATCTCAACGTTTGGCATCCTATTTCGAGCTTAACGCTACCAATGTGAATAAGGTAGGGTGTGATCGCACCCAATCCATCTTTGCTCTACCTCGTTTTTCGTTTGCCTCTTTTGTTTCAATTTGTGGTGGCATGTCGTGAGGTTTTTCTTTTATAGTCAGGATTTGGAAGCTTTACAGAAACTCTTCAGGTGCAAGCGATGGCGCATCTTCCAGACCACTCCTCACGCATGCACAATTACATAGCCATTGTCAGTTCTAACCAGTTTTCACAATGAATTCCAAAATCTATTCTTCATCTTGAAATGTGTCCAGCTGGAATATGGTTTGTTTATACTAATGCACTTCGATGCGGAAGCTTAATGCAGACCCTCTTGTTGCCATTTTAATCTGTAATTGTAAAACAAGACTTCAAATTCAGCCTTCATGGAATACCTTCGGCTTTTATGCCACTTTACAGACGTCGTTGTCCAAAATCAACTATTTTTTTATTCGTTCGCATTTGCGAAGTCTCATGTAGACGAACAATGAACAGTATTTTGCCTATACGTTAGTTTCTACGACAGAAAGTGATGATGGACTCCTACTTTGTCAAAAGATTCCTGTGCTTAAGGCCGCCTGATTTCACAGAAGTGAATACTACATGTTAAAGATCTCCCCATTTCCTTACCGACTTTAAGCCTCATTCAATCGGCTCAAAATCACCTGGCCCATCTTACTGGCAGTCTTCCATTCCCACTTTTCGAGGACCCCTGATGGCACAATGCTTACCTTCGTTGTTCACTTCGTTTTGTTTACTAACTCGCACTGCGTTTGGTTGATCACTAATACCACTAACGACGTCAGCAGAGGTAGCAGCGTTTAAAACTTGCGTCGGACCTTTTTGAATTTTCGCAGTTGGAAGGGACTGCGTATTTGCACTTTTATAACTCGCATCTATCAATACTCTCTCTAATCGCCTTCTTCGTCATCGCCTCTGTCTACTAGCACAAATGATGGATGTTTTGTCATTACCAGCTTAATATGATTTCATGGTGAATAGGGAGGACGCCATTGGTGTATTTTTATGCCATGTCGACGACAACTTTAAGTTCATGGAGTTAGAACAAGATGGGTGAGTGTTTGAAACTTTGATTAATGTTAGAATGAGGTGTGATCTACATCCATGTGAAGAGGTGTCATTTTGAAGTGCGTTTTAAGGCTCTGAAACGTGGAAGTGTCTGGATGTTTCCATGACTTTCGTTAGTGGTGGTGATTAATAAAGTTGCGTCTAGTATGATTCATTTCTATGGTGACAATGTACCCATGATGGTCCAATCAACAGTCTTCGAGCCGGCGAGAGTAAGTTTACTACGATGGAGAAGGAACGCGCAAGTGGAAGGAAAAATTGTCATGTCCCTACCCAACCTCGTACAGTCCCAATTTCCGTTGTCTCCTCCAATTTCTTGAATCTCAGTGACATCATCTTAAGGAGATTGTCATAATTGGCGTCTTATTTCGACTAAACGCACGATTCAACGACAGGGCCTGCTCTCTGCTCCCGATAACGCGGCAAATTGCATTACCAAATTATCCTGGAAGTAAGGATTGACCAAGAGAGCAATTTCGTAGTCCCCGGAAGCCGTCGGTAGAAACGGTCTTGGCGGTAGTAAATGGGTGAGATTGCATGCATCAGATAAAAGGGAATGCGCATTTCTTGCATTCAGTTCGCACATTTGATACTTCGGAAATTCTCTCCTCACCGAGTTGGAATCTCAAAACAAACTTTGTGGATTTTTGGACTCCTTTCTCTTGGGCTAAGTGGCTGGTTTAGGAGACAGTCCTTTTGTTTTGATGCCAACTTCCTCCCCGTGCTACCCAATAACTCACTTGTCTTTCTTGTAATTTGTAGTAGTAGGTTTAGCAGAAATGTGCACTTTTTCTTCGCATTTCTAAAAATGACCTGGTCCAAATGAGCTCATTCCATGTATCAGCAGCATAATTTAACGATACTGTGATAATTTGATGTGACCGTAACTAACGAAGTCAATGGCACTCCGAACTCCTGGGATAATTACCCTCCCGGTTCATTTGTCCAAATGTTGTCTAAGTTTAATTTGTCGGTTCATTTTTGCTTTTGCTCAACCCGAAACTCCCAGACAAAGCTGGTTGGCTCTCAAGTTAAAGACAAAACGGATGCCGGCCAACCACTCCAGCTATCCATTTTTCCATTGTTTGTCACAGCTTGGTTGCGGTAGTGACTGTGCTTCCACAATTCAACATGGCATGCTGCAACTCACTGAAGCTCGGTTCACTCGTGCATCACAACGTGGCTGAATTTAATAACAAACCTATCTAGGGTCTTGGTTTTGACATCCTTGAGGATGATTGGGCGCTAAAGGGGAGCGCGGGGATAAGGTGTGCTCGGACTCCACTCCTCAACCACAGATGAGTTTTTCGTCGTTTGATTTTTGCATCAAAACCAGAGTAGAAAGTCGCCCACTGTGGATAACTGCGGAAGGGCTAATTTCATTCTCAGGAATCGTCGGCAACTGGACGTCGAGTTCTGAGTCATAAACATCATTATTGGTGGGATTAGAACCGAAACAATTCCAAAGTAGTTATTTCAATAATTCGAAGGTCTGATTTTCTCCTACGATGTAAGGGAACCTTTAGTCAATCTAGATAGATGGTCAGGAACCATCAGATTGGAAAATAAATGTGAGAACTAGGCTTAAATGTCTAGTTGTTCTTCATGGCATCCTCACTTTTGGCAGATGCTTCAGCTATGAATGGGATTAGCAGGCAAAATGGTCATCCTGGAAACTTAGTTCAGCCAAATGCCTTTAAATGGGATTTCAGTCGGTCTCTGCACCACTGTCGCGATTCTAATCACAGCGTACTTTTGTCCTTACATCAAACAGTTTTTATTACTCTGATCTGCCAGCGAGTCAACTGAATGATTGATTGATCGATTGGTCGGTGCTTCCTTTTTACCACTTATTTATAGGCTGCCTAAAAGGTCCTCAGTTTCCTCTCGCCGCGCTGCCCCGCCATGCACGCTAAACGGTCCGCTATATCACCGCTACAAGCCGCGTAAATGGTGTCGCCTCGGGCACTGCCTCCTTACGCCGGATGCGCACCTCCTCGGTTTCCGCTCGCCCCATGCTGCACTCACCTCGCCTGTTGTAAGCCTGTTTGTTGCCGCTGCTTCTACTGTTGCAGTGTACGCAGGTCACGAGTCGGGCATGCAGCATGTCTTTAAGGTCACACATGCTGCAGGCGTTGGTACTGTTCCTGCCACCGCTACTGTCGCCGCTGCTGCAACAACTCATGGTGGCGGAGGTCGAGCTCTTGTGTTCGCTGCAGACTGTGAAGCGGAGGCTCTAGCTTGGATCGCTGTTAGTTTTCTCTCCTTTCTTGCCTTCGCTAATGCTGGTTTATCGAGCTAATCTAAGTCTATCGGTTAAAAAGCTCCACGACCTGGGAAACGTTTTATGCTTACCTCTACTCAGCGCTTCACTCTCATTCTTCCCTCTTGCTGATTGTGTCGCAGCTTTCTGACAGAGTTGGGTCACAAGTTTGAGGAATTAAGCTAAAAGAAATTCGATGTTTTGACGAGGAAGAAATAGTGCGATGCACCTTTTGCTCTTTGCTTGGTCTAAGCAATTTTTGCAGTTTCAGAGACCCGTTTTCTGTACCTTTCTTCGAAAATCTAGTCATGCTCTCCGATGATTGCAGGCATGAGTCTTGGTAGAATAGGGAGTATTTCTTTATAAAGATCTTGTTTGTAGTGTTAAGAGTGGACAATACGGTTCCTCGGTGCCTTTAATTGGAGAGAAGGAGGTGCACTCCGCGTTTATTTCGTTGCTCAGCCAACTGGAAGTACGCAATCCAGTCCAGAAAAGAGGGTAATTGTCTCCACAAACACTCGAGCACACTGCTGGAGACGATGAAAAGAAAGGTCCTTTATCTAACCATGGTTCAGGATCGAATTCATGGACGATCGTTTTTGGCTAGCGGCTAGTTTTTTTGCGCTGACATTTAGGCGGTTTTGTTAAAACGTTTCAACAGTAGATCGAGTAAGTCGGCTCGATAATATGGAAATGGAGGTATTATTGCCAAATCATGCTGGAGGTCATTGAAAACGAATGAGTTGCAAATCATCGTGTATCTGCTCTTTTCCTCCACTTTAGCAAATAAACCAGTACGCACAAGGCATCACGCCGTGCCGCGTGGAGTCCTTCATCGGTCATCAATGTCGTCAGGCCCACCGTCAGCACCGTCGTCGTTCTAGTGATGTGGTGGATGCACTCTCCCTCACCGACTTCGCGCGCACAGCTTCCACGGTGTCAGTGGGTTCACGACGAAAAAGCGTGGTTGCCCTGGAGACTCGACCGCATAGTCTCTTCCTACCCCCCGTCCAGACATCCCCAACTTTTCTTGGCGGAGTGGAAATGACGCTGCCACAACGACAGCAACCACCGCCTCCACTGCCGGCGCCAAATACTTTCGATGTAAATCAGGTGGGGTTATTATTATTTTTATTTTTTTATTACATAACTTATTTCTCTTAAACTCATATGGTGGGCTCTTATCTTTCTTTTCCCTCTTGTATCGCGACAGGAGGACAGTGGATTTTCAGGTTTGATATCTTCGAGCAGTTCTGCGACCGACGGTACCAACGGAGAAGCTTCTGATCAAAGAAATTCAGCGCTAGCGACTACTAGTGTTGCCAATCCTCCCCCGTCCTACCAACGTCAAAGCACAGCATCCACCGTCTCCACATCTGTTTCCACCTACGACTTTCTTCAGTCTCGAGCGTCAGGTCTGCTATCCTCGGTCCGCAGGAAGGTGGTTGACTCGCTTAGTCTCCCGAAACGGCGATCTCTTATTCTTCCTTCTCGACCATCGGATGGTTTGGAAGTGGCTCAATCATCGTCATCTCCAACGCTACCGACAAGGAGGTTTGGATGGGCTCAACTTGAGGCGGTGATAGGAAACGACGGGGCTCTGGGTGGGGCTGGTTCCATGACCTCACCGAGGGCTCGAGCTTGGCGCAGTGTTCGGGGATTGACGGGGAGGATGGCAATGCAGCATCAGACGCTAAAGTCATCGTCATCAACGTCGTCTTCGTCAGCAAATACAAGTTTGGATGAGTCAGTGCTGGCGGGTGAGTGATACCTCTGTTGATGTCACGATCTTTTCTTGCACCAGTCTGCATATCACACGTGAATACCATGTGGATTGTGCTAAGAACAATAGGTCAGTATCTGCCGTGATTTTGGGCCAATGTTTTTGTTTGTTTTTTTCAATTCTGCCTCAAAATCGGACTCTTACCAAGTCGGGCATTACACCCGTTTCACCACTTCGGGTCCTTCCATTTTCTATTTGGCCCATTTCTCTAATCGTCAGCAATTGGACTCTGCAACACCAGCATCTGGATGGCTGTATAATGCACTAGGGTTTTCAGCTCCTTTTCCCTCTTGTGTATTGTGGGTTGACATAGTCCGCGGGTTTGGGCTTTTTTCTAGCCTAAAAACATTCTGAAGGACAGTGATATGGTTTGAAAGACAGAGGTATCAAGCATCCTCCAGTCGTTAAAGATAAGAAAACGCCTACTCCATAATTCTTGTCTTAACGCGTACACACTTAATGTCCGTATGCCAGAGGCAAATAGAGCATCACCGACACCACCACAGATAAGCAGATCTTTTATTGGTCCCAATGTGACTTTCTCAGTCTTCCAACTCCATTTTTCTCACTGTTTTTCCCTTGTTCCTTCCAATCTTACCTTTCTCAATTAAATGCCACACGTGTAGGTGCGGGTGTAGAGACGGGTGGGTGGAGGCGCCAACATGTACATGTGGCTGTTGATGCATATTTTTGGGCCATCAGATTCAGCACATCCTCGCATATTGTTCCCATGACATTTAGGGCAATTGAAGGGCTAAAGGTCATCCTCTGATCCTCGATCACTCGAGTCCAACTCCCATGTTCGGTGAATGTCGGTGTGCACTGCATAAATTTCTCTCACCCTTTCCCATTCCAACCGTGTGCCCTCTTTGGTGACCTTTACTATTACAAGCTCGTTAGTGGAGTACTACTTAAGGTTATAAGGTGTTCCACAAATGCACGCATCTGTCCTATTGTGCATCCTGTGTCGTTGAAGTAAAATGGAAGATGGCATAGTCGCCAAGGCCCGATGCAGAGCCATTTACAGCAGGTACTTTTCCCTTCTGATGTTCTCCATTCGGTGATTTAGCAACAGGTTTCTTCGTTTTTCGCAATGAAGTGAAGTATATCAAACATAGACTTCTGAGTGGTCCCCGATTTGGCATTCGAGCTACTGAGGCAGAGAGTATGAGCTTGATTCATATAAGGCTGGGGTAGTGAGACGTCTGTAGCTTGACACTTTGGGAAAGGGGGCTGATCATCGACATCGGCAACTGGAAGGCGCATGCTGCAGTGATCACGTGAACTCAATGCAGGCAGTCTAGAAGTTGCATTCATTCAAGATCAAGCTAGTGAGGCCCAATTTTCGGTAACAAAACTCGTTTACCTATGGAAGACAAACATGGAATTCACTGAATGACGTGCAGAGAAAGCTAGGGTAAAGGAGAGGTATTTTGAAGTATGCAAAATGTAGTTGGAATGTGATGGGTTCAGTTTTATTCTTTCCTGGTCAGGCAAAAGGTTTCTCGACTTTCTTATGCTTTTGGATACCACAGCGAACTGTGAGAAATCTGCAGAAAAAAGAGGTGTTCTTCATCATTCAAACTTTTTTGACCCTTGGCAGCACAAATATTCACCTCATGTCGACATTTGCAGTAGAATTGGGTCCGTGCCAAGGTCGAGTGTTTGCGAATCATTGTGATATAGGTGAAATGAATTTTTTTCTGAAATTAAGCACCGTGCTTGAGGCATTTGTCTGACTTGTCCAATCTCAGTAAGTTTAGTCAGACAATTCTCCTATACGTGGTAACTAGTGTCTGTAATTTATTTTACCCCCTTTAACATCTGATGGTAGTCGTATTCGTCCCACTTAAATTGGTCCTCCTTAATGCTCTCGTTGAAAACTGTGAAATACAGAGGAGTGGAGTTAATTGACTCCATTTACGAGCACAACCGGACACTGCACCACTCTACAAGGAGGCTGCTCGTTGGTAGTTGCTGCTATTGTATTTAAAGGCAAACTGTGATTTATCCCGTGCTTTAGGTACTGGGGCAATAGTTGCGATTGTGTCTAGAGGGCAAAATTGCCCTCGTAGACGGGTAAGTCGGCTTATCGCGTAACCTCATCTCTGCAAATGTTTTGAAATAATTTCGAAACACGTAAAATTAATGTCGCCATTGTCGACCAACGCTCTGCTTACATTCGGGTGTAGCCATGACTAAGATAGGTTAGAAAAAAGTGCGCGACCACTTTTCACAATCACAAAAAGTGGATGCAAGTGTTGGAGCCTGCCTATGATGTCGTACGGCTGAGTGGGCGCCTGAGCAGATACACTTGGTGATTCCTCCTGAACACTAGGCTTGAAACAGGGTTACCATGGTCCGGAAAAACGCTTATCTTCTGTTTAGGCTATCTCTCCGAGCACGCACCTAAAGCGCCAACACGTTTACAATCAATGCAGCCGACCTCGCGCACGCACAAACTCTTGGACGTTTGCACCTGACATCTTGAAATTGACGATGTAAGAAACTTTAGACAGAAACCAGCATTGCTATTCTGGGTCCATGGCTTGCAGATAGCTCGATGTAAAGTACCAACTCTCTTCGATGACTTTTTATTTTCGAGATAACTGTTCAAGACTTTGTTTGATGGTCTGGAAGGAGAACACATTCATCTCACCGTCTTAACTTCCCATATCTCGTTGGTGTTGGTTTGCGGAATTTGAGATTTAACCATTTCACCCTCGGAAAGTATGGGGGCCTTCAGATGAGAAGTTGGGGAGGCAATGCATGGGCAACTAATTGCTTGTTAGCGTTATTCAAATTACTACCTCCTTTCCTTGCTATTTGGCTGTAGCATTCAACCTCCACCTGGAGTGTACTCTTAGGCCTCGCCATTATTCGTATGCATTCCGTAGTAAGTAAACATTGACACGCAGGTACGCACACATAGGAAGGCAGGTCGGGCATCCACGTCGAATTGTATAAATCGTTTTTTTTTTCGTGTTGGAAGTTGGTTCTTCTTGCCAGTGCACACGTGTGCACGTATCGTTTGTCCATCCGTCTGGTCGCCACTTCATCATCTGCCAGAATTCACGGCCTGGGTGGCTGTCGGGTAAGTGGAGTGATCTTCGAGAAGGCGCTACTATTTGTATCCATTACTACGGCGCTACGCTTGTGGAGGCGGGGAGACCGAAGAAGGAGTTGTACTTGTGCTTGAGTATGTCACGTGACAGCACTAGTTGTGCTTGTACTTTAGCGATGCGTTGTTTCTTCCCATGGAGGTGACTACGCGGATTACACCTGCAGTATAAGAAACCGGACAGATCGTGTCTCCCTCAAGAACGATGAGCATAAAAGGTTCTGGTCTATGGTTGACCCTGGAACTAATTTGTGCGTGCTGTGGGAAGGTCGGAATTCACTGGAGTAGTTTGTATTTGGAGCGCCGAGAGAAGGGGTTGAATAAAAGCGCATGAAGTCCCCTTTTAGCACGTGACTGGTTAGCATTAAAGGTGAGCATGTTATGCCATGGCTGGTGGTGGTGGTGCTGGTGATAAAAGCGCGGTTTCGCCACATGGGTATGCAGTTAATGCCTCCGTAGTATCTCCAGTATTGCATATTAATCTAAAACCTTTTTCGTAAACAAATCCACAGTCTTTCAATGAAACCAAAACCACTTCACCATTTCATGAAGACTTTGTGGTGTCTTTTGAAAGGCGAAATTGGCAAACTGATACGGCGTGTGCCCCCGAGACTCTTGGAAGCTCTTTTCTCAATCCTGCCAAGGGAACCCTTAGGCGAAACAATTTATTGCTAACTTCATCCACTCGCACTCACAAGCGTCTTTTTCGGCATCCATGTTTTCAGTGTATTTTAACCTCTCTCCCGACTTATTTATCAGGATGGTTTGTGGAAGGGCAGGGCGCAATCAGGCGTTTCATAGATGGCTAATGGGATTAAAGTGGCCTCCCAAGTAGAAGAAAGGTGTTGTAACTGCTCCCGTGGTGGGGTTGCACGAGCGCTTTCACATCTATTATGTGTTTATGTCTTTTTCACTGACCCTGAGGCCAAGAGGACCATTAGTCCAACATAAAGTTCATCCCATGTCTTATTACCCAATCAAGAGGGAGAGGAGAGGCGGAATTAACCCAAGCCCAACCTCTAAACTTAATAGTAGTTTTAATGCCCCAAATCAAAGCTCTTTCAACTGATTTTTGGGCGAAGTAGGGTTGCAATAACCTGTCGTTTCAAGGCCCATATTACTCGACGTCACTTCCCAAAGCCCTTAAATCTCTATATTCCCACATTCCTTGATATTTCTTCGGTCATTTTCCCTAAGGGGTCGTGAGTTGACCAATTTTACGTCTACGAGCTCGGTTTATTTGCGAAAGGCATTAAACCTACTAAGTGAAGAATGAGTGTTTGATTTCAGTGTAGCGTTTTTATTCTTCTAGGCGATATCTTTATTTCCATTCCTGGTCGTCTTCCATGGACACGTCGATGGTGCGTGTTACATGCCTCCGTGTTGGAGATTCACGCCTCTACATTGGGCATGGAATACGGCAACGGCAGTGCATCGCCTCGCCCTCCTCTTTCTCCCCCTCCCCTCCTCCTCAGTCTGCCGTTGCAACCAGGCGTGGTGGAAGTCTCTCCGGCTGCAGATAAACGCCACCCATCTGCTGTTCGTCTGTCCGCGTCCTCTCTTACGCCGCTACTACTTCTTCTCGATGCTGGAGACACTGTGGTGATGGGACGCTGGATTCGAGCTATCATTGAGGCTCTTGGACACATCACACAATCAAATCTCGTCTCCACTTCCTCTAGTACGGCTGGTACTACTATCTCGCCGAAGAATGGCGGTGAGTTCGAATTAGTGCAGAATTACGCATGGTTTGGGTGGTGGAGACGAGGTGAGGCAATTTGCTATCGGATGGCGTTGATTTCATTCCACCTGCTTTAACAAATCACCTTAGATGTATCCACCCATCCCACTAAGGTCTCCTTCCATTCGCCTTCTAGCCTCCTGAGCATTTTGCACTAACTGGAGCCACCATAACAGCTTTCTTGCTATCATTACGAATCACTTCTAGTAATTCTGATAATTTGTCATTAGACGTAGGTCGCGTCAATATTGCTAAAATCAAGCAGCATCTAGCACCAAGTTGAAGTCCTGCCTCCACCACTGTCACAAAGTCGATACGACATATTATTTCATCATTTGACAAACTTGGATCTTCAAGCTCCCTGTCTGCGGGTCAGTTGGTATTGAGGATCATTTGATTTAGCGGCACATGAATGCACTCTGAAGTTCATGTATGCAAGGAAGAGAAGGGAAGGGGTGAATGGAACATGCACAGTCTTCTGATTGCTAGCTGTGCCGTCAAGTTGGAGCTAAGTAGCACTCATACGAAGGCTGTCTTGCCGAGGAACATTACAAGGTGAAAGGAATGAACCAATAGACGCTGGAGTGCGCACCGACATGACAGATGTCTTTTGTTCATCGAAGTTCGAGTTACGAGCAAATGCAGTCGCATTATATGGGTAGCGAACCGCTCGGAATGAAGGCAGTTTTCTGGCCGAATTGCTTGTTAAGGCGATGGGGGAGGGAGCATTCCTCGAACCCTACTCTCTTATACTGCAGTTATGAAAGGATCAGAGTAGGACAAGCTGGGTTGATTTCACTTGCCACTAGAAACCACTCAGCTCTATGCAGTCCTCTGAGCAAGCAGCACACCACCGACACTTGTAAATGTTGACAGGTTTATGCAATCCTCTGCACTTGTAAAAGGGGACTCGCATGTTGTCAGAATCTCGAATTTGACAGATATTCTTGGGTTGAATATTTCAGAGCGAATCCCTAATTGGTTCCAGTACAATTTCTGGTAATTTGTGTTGGGAGGTCGGTTGTAGGTATTCATGCGGCTACTTTGTTGGGCGAGTTGCATTTTACAGATCTGTACTGGACGTGATTGGAGGGTGCACTCTTCACCATCCCAAATGCGCTGTACTTGAAATCACCGCAGTTTATTATTTTTTTTCTCCAGTAAAATGAATGAAGTTAAAGTAACTAGTAGGGGTTTGCGTGCATGTGTGTTGAGTATGTTTGTGGGGCCTTGTGGGAAACAGCAGTATCAAATCTAAATGATGAGGGACAGCGGATGTCGAAGGCGAGAAAACAGAAGTCGTCGACACTTTATTGACGGCAGAACCCGTGGGAGTAGCTATAAAAGGAGGCAGATAGATGTGTGGTTCAGGTATTTCGATGTTTATTTTTTTTTTTGTCGGAGGATTCACACAGACTAGGATTGTAATCCTATCCTGGATATTAGTTTCACTTCTACGACATTCAAGATAGGAGAGGTTTCGAAGCTCCAATGATGCAACAGCGGTATGCAAATCTGCAGACGGGATTGACTGGGTTGGGTAAGCCAAAGTGCGGCTTCATTGAATGAAATTTCTTCCGAGAAATTCGTCAATGAAATGAGTTTTTTCCCACTTGCAACTCCTCACTTTCGATTGACCTAGTTGACTTCTGAAAGGTTCAAGCGTGCTTTCCTCCTCGTCCTCGGTAGTTCAATCGTCAGCGCTCATGTCTTGCTCAAGGCTGAAAAATAACTCGTAAAGAGCTTGAATTTTCCTCTAATTGGCAAACAATACGTAGGAAACGTGAATTTTTTCCATCATGGGAACGAGTGTGTAGGTGGGGCCTTATCAGCATTTCTTCTGCTCCCCTCTCCCTCCCTTCCCTTTGACATCTGCTCCATGAATAATAAATATTTGTACACGCAACAAATGCCAACGCATTTTGTCGGACCAACATAAAAGCCGCAGTAGCAGTTGCTGTAGAGGGGCGGCGAGGGGTGGGAGAAGAAACATAGGCAGAAAGAAAGCAAACACAATGGATTACCTCTGCATAACAGGCTGGAGATGAAGTGTGGTGTCATTTCTTCTCATCAAATAGTACTAGTCTTTTCAACCTTTCAAATACTCACTCTATCCTACTTGTGGACTTGGGTTTTCAATCCCTTCTCCCCTCTTCATCGGGGGTTGGAGGGCCTTCACTACGAGGGAGAACGTTCAGCTGAGGCTAAAGTGAGAAGATGTAGCTACGACTCTCAATGAACTCTCTAAATGAGCAGGTAACAAAACTGCGAAAGTTGGACCAGGTTGATTTCTGAGGCAGGACGTTAGACTTTTCCCTACTCTTCTTACTGGTCTGGGCTATTCATGCACCGATGCTTGCCGACTTCAGCATGTCGCATCTCCACGTTTGGGCTGTAGAACAACAAACTGTTTGATTGGTGAGTTGGTAGAAGCGCATGCTGGAGGGTTTCAAGTTGATGCAGGACGATGGGAGTTGGTGGTGGAGCACTGAAGTAGATTGGACCCATGGGTAGTGTCGTGCGCCTGTCATGCAATCACAGAGACAAAGTGCGAGAGGGGAGAAGGAGTTCGCGCACAAATTGACGATGGTGTCAACTTTCAAGAAACCATATAAAATCTAATGGAGGAGGAAGGAGAGGGGTGGTAGGGGGAAGTATGTGACATTCGCACCAAAGAACGGTATTTGCAATTGCCACATCAAGTGAACTGAATGCCATCCCTTCACCTTACTGCGCGTTCCTGTCTGTGTTTGTGTGCCCACGCCGTGATTCATAATTTTCGACGTCACTCACCGAAATTCTCTTTGTGTCATACGAAGGTGATTTGGTAGTCTATCCAATAGCGAATTGACAGAGTGGATTGGAGGGTGTTGATTTGCTTTACCTTACTTGATGAGCTGCAGAGCCCACGGACATCTACTCAACAGAGGCTGCAATCGCGAAGAAAGCAGCTCTAAGAGGTGGAAAAGGCTTCCACAGGATGAGTAAAAATGAGTTTCAATTCCACTCAGGGTTTCGGCAGGCCTAAGTCCCAGTAAGCCTTGATGTCACTCGTTCAAGGAGGGCAAGTTGGAAGCATTTGTCGACTTCTGTGGCAGCAGATTACGCGAACCTAATCTTGCTCGAAGGATGATTATTTCATTTGTCTTAGAAGATGGTTTTTCCGGGACTCGGTTCTTAGGTTTACGGATTCTCAGATCGTCCAACTCGTTTCTCGAGCGAATTCACTTTTTAACTGCGAAATCTGTCATTCATGCTTTATGTATTTTTGAAAATGCCTAGTCTGGTGGAGTTATATTTTGGAAGGTTAAAATTTCCTCGGCTCTTCTATAGGTCGCCCCTCTGCACTGACAACAGTACCTTCGCGTCGGCTCTCTGAGATCCTACGTCCACCTTCGCCCGAACCAATCTACGACGAAGTTGCTGCCATCGCGACTGCGTCAAAGCGGTGGACGTGGACGGCCTCGCCACCTCAGGCTGCTTGGCGTTCTGTTGTTATGGAGGTCACACCGCTGCCAACTGTTCCCTCTGCTGGACCTAGCAGCCCTACTAGTAGTTCTCTTAATGGCGGTAACGGTGGTGGCGGCGGGGGCACCTATTCCAGCGTCTACTACGATTCTGTAATAGCGGTTGAAGAGGAAGAGGAAGAAGAGTCTAAGGATGGCGATCCCCTTCCTCGGACTCATTCGCTCCGGTCCAGGGTGCATTGTTAACGTTGACGATCGCCTGCTTATTTTTCATTAAAAACACTTTCTTAACTACCTTATTCTTTTCAGACTTCTCATGAGCAGCTCTCTCGTTCACTTTCAAGCTTCTTGATACACTCAACTTTCTCCGCCTCCAACACCACAGACGACTCATACTTCCTTCGAAGTCGATACGATAGTGGTAGTGGCGGTGTTAGACTGCGTCATTATCGCAGTCTTGATTGGCACTTTCGTGTTCGGCCGGAGGCAGTTGACCTCCCTTCCGTTCCATGCTCTGCCGGTGACAAGGTGGCCTCCTTCCTTGATCGCAGTTCTGGTAGGAGTTGTTCACTTTTTCATTTTCTTCAATCAGTCCACTTCCGGCAATTTTGAACGGCGCTTTTAACCCCCTTTAGTGACAACTCCTACAGCCGAAGTAACGGCACTGCCAGCGACGGTGGTGGTGGCGCGGAGCTACTCGTGTGCGGCCTCGACTCCAGCCAATCAAGAGAAGGTGGAGGGATTTGTCGTAGCCAATCCTCGGGGTGTGACAGTGCCATTGGGACGTGTCGCCTCGCCTCATGATCCGCCGCCAGTCGAACACGAGCATCAGCAATCCTTTGCCCCCTTGAAATTCACCGGGGAAGTCGATGATGGCGTTGAAGAGGCGCTCAATGCTCTCGTAAGTTTTCAATGTCCTGCTTTGTGGGTAATGATGGTCCTCTGAAGGTTCTGAGTTGCATCAGCCCATTCTGCGAGGGTTTCTCTAAACACTAATGTTTCTCTACTTTGTAGGAAATTTTAACCCTCAGGTAGGTTTTTAAGCTGAATTCGCAGTTCTGCTTCTCTCTTTTTTCTTTTTTGGTTCAGTTTATGCTTATTTCACTCTCCTCCTAACTATCAAGTTATATAAGTTTCAAGCCATTATTGGCCACCTCGCTACTTCTTCCCTTTCTCTGTCGTAAAGTTCGAGTGGTTTTGCTGTTATAAAGAAGCCCAAACGACTAAGCGATTGGTGGGGTGGTGTCCTATGGCTAGGCTGAACCTCTTCGGGTCCGAAATTGTACGCTGTGCTGTTCTTTTTTCCTTCTTTTTGGTTTCGTTTGCGTTTTTCTTCTATACTCTCGGCTTTTTATTCCATTTGGTGTTGACTCACTGCCTTCCGGGTCACTGTCATTCAAAGCAGATGTGCAACTGCATCGTCAACGTCACTCTTGGACCCGTAATTCGTTTCATCGCCTCAAATTCCCACTGTCTTCTTTTTGTCCAACTGCCTAAGCTGCTTGAATCGTGTTCTTTTGCTTCGATTAGCATTGACTCCTCTCATAGTCTCTGTTTATCAGAGCTTTGTTTTCTTGACTAAAACCCGATAACAATTCCATTGTCAGCCTCTGTTCGCTTCCTACACACCTCTGAAGGAATGTGGGATCCAACCGAATTCCTCCCAGGCCAGACGAATAGGAATCTCAGTGCAGATGTCTGACGCGAGTGACTAGCGTGTGCACGCTTGATAACTGGCTCGTGAGGACTGTCGGAGTTGATGGGTCGTCTTATTCCACTTTATCCAGCTGCATCTTCCCGACCTTGGGATTGGGGGCAATCGAAATGGGTTTGTGTGTGGGAGGAAACCACGGTTCCCGAACCATTAGGGAAGACGGAAAGAATATCCCCGTTCTGGAACTTGACACATATAAGACCTCATTTTTTTGGTTTTAATCACCAAGTCTGCGTACTCGGAATTCCACCACGTAATTTTCCCAAAAACAATTCTCTATGCGTTTTTCCTTCCGCCGTCCCCAACGTCAACTTATATTAATTTCGAGATTTTTTCCTCAAAAATTGGCACGTCTCTCATCTCCGTTGATCTATCCCCAGTGCTGTTTGCGAAGTTGGTTTTTCTCAGTTAATGCTTTTGTTACCAAAGGCACGCGTACATGGCATTTGAATTTTGCTCGATTACGGTCCTTTCGATCTTTCGTTGGCACCTTGGCAGCGAGCGTGGTACTGCCAGAACCCTAAGCAATGCAACAATTCACCAATCCAACTAGCGAATGGCTGCTCTCTGCTTTCTTTGATAAGTTGAGTTTTGAGCTTTTTGCCTTCTCCAGGATGCAGTAACCAACGCAGGTTACTTTGCGGAGCCGGCGCCGACACCTGCCACATCAGCGGCTGCGGTGGAGGTGGAATCGGAGGAGCCCCTTCAAAGGGGTCAACCCAAACGGCGACGCAATAGACGCCGAAATTAACCGTCCCTCACCCATTGGCTATTGACCTCGTCGCCACTGCCGCATTCCTCGTGTACATTTTTTTTGGTCCCCTTCCTACCTTTCCCTCCTACCACTTACTTCACATCTTCGCCACTTTCAAGGTCATCCCCTTGTTATCATCGTAATTATTTGGGCCACTATGCTAATTGTTTGTGATTGTGTTTGTTTCTGGACCGTGTGTGTCAGAGAGCTTTACACACCGCTTCAGAATTTCTGCTTTTTACTCACTGAAAACTTATTAAGTAAGTTAATAAATCAATCATTAAGCTCCGCGATTGACTGTTGCTTTTAGAGTAGTTATTGGTCGTCAATCGCTCTCCCTTCGGTGTTTTGATTTGTCTCTAGCGCTCGCAAGAGTTTTCATTTTATGATGAATATGGGGGCAATGCGAAGCGTGGAACTTTGTTTTTTTCGAAGCAGAAGGTCGATTGAATCTCCTCAACAATGCACGGAGGCCTTTAGACTAGCGTATACCGGTTGTCCGTCATTAAGGGTTACTTATTACATGTTAGTAGGCATGGCGTTTAATGGAGGTGGTAATGATTGTGTCATTTCATGAACAGGCTGAGGCGTTATAAGTGGGGTGTTTCTCGAGAACAAAACGAATGCGGATCTCACCAACTTGTTCATGAGTGCGAATGAAATTATTTTCATGCTTATCGACAATAACCTAGTGCAGTAAATTGCGCGCGGTCGTGTGGGTTCCCCGTGATGCATGGCAGTCAGTCAAGGGTAAATTGGTGTTGGCTGAAGTCATCAGATTTGCTCAAGTGGTAAGTAAAACGCTCCTATGGTGAGAACTACGCCGTAAATGCTCTGCTGTTTGTAAAGGAGTAGAAAAGGCCAACATGTTCTTGCGTCTGTTTACCAAGATGACGGTGGAGGGTGAAACCACTGAAGTGAATGGTGCCTTGGGCGATTGAATCGAAAATAAGATTTCACCCTTAGATAAATGGAGTATAGAAAATGGGATTGGGCAAAGGGTTAAAATTAGGAGTGAACAATGACAAGGGTGTGACGGCAAATCGTCAATGCACCTGTGAAAATAACAGGTGTTTGGGTGGTTCTTAATCCTGTTTGACTAATGAAGTCCTCTCGTGTTTGCTTTCTCTCAGTGAGGAGACCTCGAGCGGCAAATCGCCCTATCCTACTGCCACTTGAGCAATTCTACACTCAACCGTGCTTCAATCATCCCATCCAGAATCGACATAACTTAGCAAACCAACAATGTATGCAGTCAGATGGAGTTGATCCTCTTGCATTCATAGAGGCCTTAATCGATTACGCATCTCTTTAAGAGGCGGGAATATCTTCGAGAAAAGCCGTGATGGCACGCAATGTAGCGATGGACTGAGACCAGTCAAACTATTATGGCCTTATAATCGCCTGATTCAACATCGTGAAGTCTCACCATTTGTTTTAAGCCTTCGTGAACACACCAACAGACGTTGCGACGGTATACAAGCCACCCATCTCCAGAAGAAGGATGGCATGTCCTTCCCCGGAACCAAGCATAGGATCCAACCAACCACGCTCACATGCACTTGTAAACCTACCTCATAAAAGTGCCTCCTCGTTAAGTGCTTCTTCGATTTAGCAAATGAAGTTTGCCTCAGCGCACGCCCAACCTCTACGAAATTTTTATTTGGTGGTGGACAGGTCCCCGTTTGTGACTTCCTCTCGGTCCTACGTCTATTTGGTGACTGAGTCGTGACTCTGAGTTGTGAACTCATCAATTTTATAAGAGGATTGTGACCATCTAATAATCTTTTAGTAGATAAGTGATAACTGAGGGTGGCAACATCCATGTGACCTGAAAAATGCTCTCATGATAATTGCTATAGGGGCTTCACAACCCGGATATTATCAGCCTCTTTGGTACCACGCCACTCCGACGACTCTTTTGACTTAGCAACAATTAGAGGCTTTGCATTTTCAAGCAGTTTTTGAAGAGATAGCTGAAACGATGAGGCTCCCACGTTAGCATTTTACTTACCCTTTAGTACCTAGGTGAAAAATTTTGAAGCCCAGGTTTGGCAGGACAATTCTTTCTGCTGCATAAAATGGTGTTGTCGATTGGTTGTCTGTAGAGGTGATCAAAGACCCCTACGCGACAAAGTTATATTGTTGCTTTCATTCTACCCAAGAGGTAGAGTGATAAGAAGATAACGATCTGACTCACGGTCTGGTAAATAGGAATCATTCTGGAATGAAAAGTAGAGAACTAATGCGATCAGAAAACCCCTTATCTATCTAAAAGGGAAATAGCTTCCACGACCAAGAGACTAACCAAGAAGTTTCACAAAGGAGGAGCAAAAAAGAAAATATTCCTGATATGAGAAACACGTAAGCACAATGCTCAATTGTGTATGAACCTCCTCTGGTTGAGAACTGTGGTACCAATGTTGAGGTAGGAGGCAAACACCGTGAAAAACACGCAGGGCATCATCATGTAAGCAGCAGCAGCACTTATGTCATGGAACAGAATGGCAGATAGTGCTGCACAAATTGTAGTGGCAATAATTATCCCCACTGACTGAAAAATAACGAGTGCACCGTTAGAAGACTCGATTGCAAAAAAATGTAATCTCTTACAAAAACTTACAGACTTTAATTTGTGCAACCCAAAGAAAACATACGGCCATGACCAGTTAAGCAATAAATGAACAAAGTAGGTAGCAAGCGGTAGTACAAGGTTGGCGTCAGACTTTGCTTCGTGCAGAAAAAAGAAGGAGGCGAGGCCAATTGACCCGTAGATGATACCCCAAATCGGACCAAAAACCCAAGCTGGAGGAGTGAATTCTGGTTTGGTCAGCGTCTTGTACCATTCCAAGTTTTTTGCAATTACAGAGGAGCCTACGATGCTGCCAATGTAAGGGAAACCTACACAGACAACAAGCTGCAGCAAATCCATCAATACCGATTCAGTCAAATCGCGCATCCCAATTTAAAGATGCCTTGAGCTACTTAAAAAATGACACCATCACTTTAAATTTAATAACCTAAACGCAATTTATTCCAAAGTATCGATGAAATTATACGTGATAAACTCCACTGCACTAGGCACCAATTGATAGTAATACTTAAAGCTGCAATAACATACCATAATTTCGCAAAATTCGAAAATGTTCATTAGTTCTGAGTTATTAATAAAAATACGTCAAAAACTTTAGCGGTTTTGGGGATCTAAATGCAATAGGTAAAGCGTCCCGAGGCTTCCCATAGGGTAGTAGAAGGCATGAGGTTGAATACATGTAAACCGAAGACGACAGGGCTAATGGAGCCTGATCGTAGCCCGCCATACGTCATGTAGTCACATAAACAAAGCAGTACACTACCTCTCTCTTCTTTTGAGCGACGTCTTCTTTGCTCCCGCCTTTGGTACACCTCCCGCGCCAGCCATCACAACACATTCGGTACTATAATAAAGCACCCACGAGCCATCCGCGCCCGTCGACGGACAACACGAGAGAGAGGAACCGCACCTGATCTTCTCCGCAGCTTCAACTGGATCTGGAGTTACGCTCGGTCTGACAACCAGATTTGGTGCCGCCTACACATGTTGACCATCAATTGCTTCCAGGAATAGACGGTGGACCTCTGGCCTACAACAGATATGTTGCAGGGGTAACGGGACGAGCCACTGTCCCGTATGCGAGGAGAACCGTAGTGTCATTTCCGACACCTAAGCACGGATTTTGCATTGGAACCTCCGACACTAAACTTCCCCAGATAGTTCACGGCAGTGCCGCTTCAGTTGCTAAAGCTTTTTGTGGAACACGGGAATAAGGTGAAAGCAAATGCAGACGTCAGTCTCAACCCTTTCGTTGTGAAGGATTCAGAGATTGTCCGTCAACAAGGCAAGTTCACCTCCTTCAATTCACGCCCCTTTTCTGCCTGTATCTTCATCTACTGCACTTCGATAGAGTCAGACTCCTTCTACGCATGCATAGCTCATAATTGCCCGTGCCCAACGCCAATATGCGCTTATTAATCTTGGATTTCTCCACTAAAAAACAGAATTCCCTTGTAGTCTCGTCTGCTGGTTGGATTATAACCTTTTTGTAGTGAAAAGAGTGGTTTCTACATTCCGGTCAAGGGAATCCTATTTTGGGGTATCTGCATGTATGGTACCAGTGCATCATCAGATCGAACCGTTGCTCGTCGGCTTGTTCGTACTGTTCTTTTGCGGAAATCATTCGACTAATTAGCAAAGTTTAGCAACACAAATGCAGGATGCCAGCACACTATGTGGCTTTCAAAACCACCTTACACCTTAAAGTCGTTAAGAAAATGTCGGGTTCGCTTTCCACTGCCACCAGCGTAGCGTCCCGAGACTTCCCATAGGATGGAAGAAGGCATAAGTGAGGTTGAATACATGTATTCCGAGGGCGAGAGGGCAAATTGGAACTGAGCGTGGCCCGAAGGCCAGCCAACGTGTACAGGGGCTAGACAAATTCTGGAGTGACGGCCAAACGTCATGTGGTTGCATAAACGAAGCATCACAATAGACCCTAGTATGTTTAAGTCGTCCCTACAGGGGAGAAACAATCGGTCAATTCAAAGTTCGTGCGGGTGGATCGTGAGGATCCTTCTGAGAATTACCTCCTGTAACCGAGTTGCACCCCGATCGTGGGGTTTCCCATCAGGTAGTAGAGGGCATAAATTTAGACTGATTACATGTAAACAGTAAAAAAGTGCAACGGGTTCTTGGCTTGGCTTAAAGGCCTGGCTACGCGTGTAATGCTTTGTTTATGGGATTGCCTGAGGTTCAACATTCACTTTAGAATTTTTTGTGCCTGTGGCGTCTTAAAAATTCTCACCAAGTGGAAGAAGACAATAAAAGAAGCTATTGTAGCGTCTTGAGACTTCCTAGCTAGTATAAGAAGTCAGCAAGTGCGGCCGAATACATGTATTCCGAAGACAACAGTGCAATTGGGTCTGGGCAGCTTACGTATACAAGCACCAGACAAATCCTAAAGTGACCGCCAAATGTCAGGTGGTCACGTAAACTAAGTATTACAGCTGAATACATACATTCTAGCGAAATTGAAGGAATTAAGCCCGGGTTCGGCTCTAAGGCCATTTCACTCATACCAAGGCCAGGTGATTGACAAAGTAATCAACTGATATCTGGCTGCTATGCGCTAATAATATAAGCATAAGTATTTTATGATGTCAAAAGGTGCCTCGTGAACAATGCGACAAGAATAAGTTCGTAACAAATTCGGTTCATATTTTTCTGCTACCAGAGATGTTTTCTGAGGCTACGCGAAGGTTTAATACTATCTAAAGTCATTGAAAGTTTAACTTTACTTCAGAATGTCTTTTAAGACTTAAGTATACAAATTCAGTTAAACTTTCCAAAACTCTTAACAAACGCAGTTTCTTTAAGCCATTAATTTTGTTTTAGCTGATCTGCCATTATAATTCGAGCGTCCCTGCCAATTGCCGGGTGATCTGACTTGCTGGAACTTCGTAATTGATTGGTTCGTAGTTCACAGTTTTCTTTGTATTCTGATCATCCGAATTTTCAGATAATGTAACTATAGGCAATTTACTTGTCTCCCAGGTTGTATAAGCTGCTTGTATGTCGTGGTTTCAAATTGATTTATATGTGCGTTTTTTACAGTAAGCATATGTGCCGGTTCATTCCCTTTTGGATTTATTGACCTCGATTCTTATTGGTTTGTTTTTTCCATATTTTTTTACTTACCACGATATAGGTATTTATCTGCTCCCTTCGTTTTGATATGAAACGATTGTGCGATTATATTTTGCTAGTAGAGTTAACTGTAGCACTATGCGGTAAAGGCAGATGCATGTAATGAGCTGCTTATGCTTTGCATGCTGGCACGTTTGTAGCCTATTGTTCGTCTTTTAGTTACGCACATTTTTTCCACATATTCGAGTGCCTGGTCCCCAGGCGAAAATGGTATCCTAATTGAAGATAAATTTCTTTACTTTAACGGTATCAGAATGGACATTAACTTTTTGGTTTAACACTATAAGGTTGGGTCAAGTGGTGCAATTCGCTCCTTTTATCTATTTTGAGTGCTTAATAAGTGTTGTGGAATTTTGTTTAGTAAGGGAACTTTTGTCCCCTAAAACCTGTAATTTTTAAGCACGGGTAAAATTTTGGCTATTTATGCTTCCTTAATTATGCCATAAACTTACTCTGACCCCTTAGTAGACATTTCCAACATTTGCGGTCCGTTATATCGTTCTGCATTCTGTGTTCATCGACTCAGTTTGGAAATTGCTCTCCCTTGACTTTGCGATTCCATTTTAGTAAGAATAGTTTTCTTTGCCTACCACGCAACCACAAGTATCATGAGTGTGGAAAGGGAGGAGGAAGTAGCAGAGGCTCTAAAAGTCGATGAAATTGATGAAGAAGGAGACGGCCGTTGCGATTTTCATTTACTTGCGTCTGCAGACACGGCGGACCTGACGGCTCTGTCTGCGGAGGTGCAGGCCATTGCCCATCGTTTCAATGCCGAATTTGAGGCTGTGTTGGAGGCAAGTGAAGTGGATTCGAGTGCTGGATCTGCTATCGTACAGCGTCTTCTACCCACAGTGGTTGCAGTGTTGGAGCAGCTGGACGAGTTTTACAAAGATCATGCGTCCTACAAGGCGGAGGTGATTGAACTTCGTGAGGAAACCACCTTTCTCCTCAACCAACTGGATAAGGCAAAGGCCGCGCGCCGCGATACCGAAGACGTACGTACATTCTTCTCCCTCTTAATTGTCGAGTTAGCCAAGACTCCTTTTTTTTTGCTTTGTTAAATCACCGAACTTTCTGACTTAGTTCTGATCTGTTTGCGCATCTGCCAATTCGCCGTTCATTTAACTGTTTGCGCATCCCAGAACTATCTACCCATCAATCGTTAATCCACAGGTCTGCCCATTTATCCACCAATTCAACTTGGCAGTTTCTGAATTTCCGAAAGGTACATAACTCTAGTAATGTCCTTGTAGTATTTGATTCCCGGTTTCCAGAAGGCATACCATAGGAATTGCAGATGTCATTTTCGTCCAGTAAGATAGTAATGTTGGTTAACAGGAGAACGATATATTCCCGCCTTGAAGAGAACACTTTTGGCCTGACCTGGATACACCTGTTCTTCCAGCTAATGCGTCTCTGCTTTCGTGTTGAAGGGATTTTCACGCCTTTCTTTTTATTTTTCCACAGTTGCTAATGCGAATGGAGGATCAGTTTGAAAGTGAACGCAAGAGCTTGAATGAGGCGCTAGCGCGAAACGAGACACAGATTCGACGCCTTGAGATGAGGTCAAAGAATGTTGAGGAGCAGCGTAAGTACTTGCACTCGCTGACCGTGAAGGGTGGTGAGAGATGAACGGAAAATTGGATTACACTGGGAATTTCTCCCATAAAAAGGGAAAAATTTTGGTCTTTACATCAGTGAATAGCGTTTTCACAATCTTCCTAGTAATGATTAAACAAGATGAGCGGATTGGCTTGCTGTCATGGTACTTTCAGTAACGCATGTAGCTGCTCATAATAAAGACCATCCATCATTGCGGGGAAGCAAATAGGTTTCGGCCCGTGTTTTGGGAAGCTTTCCTATCAGATTGCTTTGAAAGTGGCAATCCTCCATTGTAAGGTGTTCTGCGTTTTACATATTATTTTTTAAGCGGGTCCATTGTTTTACTACCTACTTAAAAGTCTCATAGAGTACCATCCTGGTCATATGACTGATGGCGGATTAATTCAGAGGAGTCGTTCAATCTACTATTTTTTCTATGTTTCTGTCTTTCTTTCTCGCAGTCGCGCGTATGGAGCAGAAGGAGCAAGAATCCTTGAAAGAGAACTCCAAGCTCCACGAGCGAATCAATGAGTTGTTACGCTCTCACGCCGAGTTAAACGATTCCCTAAAACAATCGGCCGCGATGCCAGTCTACTCACTGATGAAGAATAGGGACCCAGGTGAGTGTAAGGATAAATATCTTTTTTGGAGATAGGAGAGATGAGTATCGAAGACAGTTCAAGTGGTCGGAAAGTTCCTAGTGAAACGCATCTCTGCAACAATAATTCATTCTCTTCCTTTCTATCTTTACATAGTTACCACAAGAGTGCCAGGAAATGCTTTCGATACAACAAGGTGAGTTCGCCCTACGCCGGCATCTTTAATCCAACCTAAATCTGGCATGCTGCTAGTTCCATCCCCTTTTTAGTGCTGGAGTCGGCTTCGATGAGCTCTCCGCAATGGAGGGCGATCTCAGTCCACCGTGTGATGACGATCTAGGTGATTTTTTTCCTCCTCTAAACCCCGAATGATGTTGAGCTCTGTCATTGTTGTACTGCTAATGTGATTTGCCATTTTTAAGCCAATTGGATTTCGGTTTGTGGATATTTGTTGCCGATTGGTAGAGCAATCAACTCCACCCTTGGTTAGCATAACCATCAACTCGGTACGGCCTTGGCAAGAACTCGCTTAGATCCCAAGTCCCTCCCATTGCGATGCAAAACAGTATAAACCCGTTTCAATTAAATTCCTTTAGTATTGAGAGGAGAAAAAAAAAGGATGTTAGATTCTTCGAAATCAGGTTTTGAGGCTTCCAAGAATCTAGCTGTAACTTAGATTGCTAAAGCATGTGTAATTTTCCTCTTCGCATGTTCCATCCCACTGCCAATTGGTTCTCCCACCCCTGCTGGTATTGATGATGCTTCGATTCCGCATGCATGCCGCATTCGGCGCCATCAATCATCCGCATCATCAACTCCTTCATGAAATCGTCCCCAGATGATCTGAGTCTTATGGTTGATAATAATTCTGAATCTGAAGGCATCCATGATATCGGTAGGTCTTAGAAAATCGAAATCACTAGATCACTCATTCCATCCCTCACTCCCTTCCGCAAATCGTTTTAGACGAAATCCTATGTAAGGCATTTGACGAGTTTGACAAATCGTAGCCGCTATAACATCACCCTAACGCGCACTTCTTTTGCATGCGTACACATGCACATTTCACACTTGCCTGATTTTTTCTTTACTCTTCTTGTTTCACACTTTCAGCTGGGATGCGGAGCGAAGTAAACAATCTGATACGGGAGAATATGGGGCTGATGGAGACCAAGTGGGTTTATCTTATCTTTTCGGCTTACACTTCGTTTTCACCTAGGAACGCATTGAATGTCGTTAAGGATGACCTGCTTCTACAGAGGGACAGTCTGAAGGCGTAAGTCAGCTTTTAATAAGGGATGAGTGAAACAGGCGCTGATTGTTGGATGAATGAATGCGGTGGCGGGTGGATAGATGGATTAACACACGTGGGTTGGGTGACTAATTCTCTATCCCTATTTGTAGGGATAATCAGCTGCTAACAGAGGCGGTGAAACAGTTGACAGAGAAGCAGGCACTGCTACAACAGGAACTAATCAACTCAGATCAGATGCTCACGTCTGCACGAACTGAGTTGGAGTCGTTGAAGGCCAATGTGGAGAAGTTGAAACGAGAGGTGAGGCACACAACTCCTTCGTCTTGGTCTTCCATAGCCAGGCAAATTTATTTTTCGTAAATTAACAAGTGCAGTTGATTGAAGTGCTGGTACTTGTTTCAAAATTTTCGCTCTGTTTACCCATATTAGACTACTCTTTGTTTACACATGAGACGTCGCTTTACCTCACAGTCAATGTGTCAAAATTAGCAAGGCGGAGGGGTGACAAACTCTTTTACCTGTAATTTTGTCACCATGATTACCATCGCCCCCCTCTTGCGAACAATCAGTGCTTAGGTCACTATGGCCAGCACCCACCGTCCTTCAAACGTGTTCTGCTCTTGCTAGTTAATTTTGATACGACCTCTTGGCACAACCGACTTGAACTTTGTAAGAAGTGGACACATTGAGAGGGTTTTATACGAAGGGAAGGTGAATTGGAGTCACCAACCCCATGATTCTAGTCCCTTGTGGTCCAATATTCACTTTAGGTTATTTTGTTGGACCCAATTGTTCGCGTGACAGCCATTGTTGCGAATCACTATTCTTACTCTTCTCCATTTCCTTTAATCTTCGAGATTCCAGCCAAAATTATCAAGTCAACCCCAAGCAGTCGACGCATTTAACGTTGAAATCAACACTACTTTTGATTGGATTGGGAAAATATTTGAACTAATATACGTCATATCACCACTTTTCAGAATAGCCTGATCTTATTTAGATTTTCTGTGTCAAAACTTCTAAGAATGCTGTTTAGAGAAATCCACATTAACAATGATTTCTTGAAAGCTGTAAGGATCCATTCATGACGCATTTCTAATTCCTCTCTCCTTTTTGCTCCCTCCTGTATCCATTGGGAAGCTCTCCAAAAAGGGCTTCACCAAGGCTGAGATTGTGCGTCTCATCACCGATCGCAACTACTACAAGGAGCGCTTTTTGGAGCTGCGTGAAGCAATCAAACTCATGGAGACAATTAGAGCAAGCCAGCGTGGGCATCCAGAGTTGCTGAACGACTTGCCACCCGCTGTCACCGACGTGCAGGTGCATCAGAACGCCTCACCACACCATCAGTTGAAAAGTGTTTTTGCTAAAATGTGAGCCGATTTCGTCCTTAACTCTTGGAAAAAACAATCAGTTCATGAGTCGTGCCCACTTTTCACTTCAGCATGAATCTCATATCTCTTCCTCGCTTGGACTTCGGGTTAGATACCATGACTCTCTTAGACACGTAAGTCTTTTCATTGCTTGTGTCAAACGCCTCTTTTTTGTAGAGACGATGTAGAAAGGCGGCAAGAGGAATGTGCCGACGCCAAGGCAGTGGCACCAATGAGTAAGGATGCTTCTGCAAACACATTCCAGTCACAGCGGTGGATCAAGATCTGCTTACCCTTAAACCAGGGACCCATCTTTGGATGGGTTCATGGATTTAGAGGCGTGCGACAAGGCAAAGCTGAGTTATCCACAGCCAAGAATTCTACCTCTCTCTGCAGACCTGTCGCATATCCTGTGCCCAAAAAGTGCCGCAACATTGGGCGCCTCATGCTGCGAAATGAAGTGCGTTTTGGTTTCCTGGTCAGGGTTGCTAGAGTTGTAAGAAAGTTTAAAGTCTCTTTTATTTCCAATTTCTGTTTTAGATTACCACTGCGCTATTTGTGGCATCTCCATTGGAAAAAGACTGCACTGTAAGCTTTTTGAATAGGAGCTCAGCTAATTTACCTAGACATGTTACTTATAATGGTGAAATGGGGCACTTAAATTACATTTTTTATTGGTCGACCGCTGTCCAATGAAAAATCAATTCAGGGGTTTAATAACCAATTACCTCCGTGCAAGAGACGCATGAATTTTCAATCATAAACGATATAATTTCAGACTTGTTTTTTTAAACTTTATGACAACTAAAACATAATACTGCATTCCAATTAAGCCTTATTTGACATTGAGGACTCATCAATTCGCGTTACACTTTTGAGCCTTAGTATACCTTTATTCAACTTCGTCGAGAAATGTCTGAGGTTCTACTTTGATTTTGGAGAGGACTTTATTCATTGTTCTACTTTAGAGCACTCTAGAATACCAGACACACACTCTTCCTCTGGATCTGCGGCGGTTAATTCTATCAATACCCGCTACTAAGGCACCATGTCCTGTAATACTTATTTGTTATTGTCCCGACTTGCACTCATGCGCTGTGCTCTTGCTTACCTATAATTTTCAGCAAATTAAGCTGGCTAATTTTGGATCTTGATTAGGTCCAAGTTCTTGCCAATGGGACCTACATTGTGGATGAAAGGGCTTTCACACAGTGCAAATGTTTAAGTGAGTAAAAATAGGACAAGCAATGGCTTGCTTCGACATCAACACTGGTGTTGGAACTATCTCTCCTATCTTGCCTGATAACGGCAGCATATATTTATTGGGAAAGGTAGAAGCAGAGGCGACTTTTGCACTTTATGGTCAAGGCTCCAGTTCCATCACCGAAAATCAGGAATTCGATGCCACAAAATAATGTTTTGTTTTTTGCTTTGCTTTAACGAAGACGGTTGGGGTTTTTAACTCCATCAACTAAATCTTTAGGACTATCACTGCCTCTCCTGCACTCTCCTGAGTGCATAAATCAGGTGACTTTAAAAACTAACGGCAGATTTAGGAATGATAAAACCAGAATCAATTATGGTGCACTGCCGGAGCTAAGCATTATTTTGAATACCAGAAAATATGTCCTTCACTAAGACAGCAGTATAGAATTGTTGGGAATACTACATTTCGTTAATATTGTAACCGTTACAGACGTTTTGAATGGCTCATTATCTGAGCAAATCTATCAATGGTACGAGCGTTGCCAGTTTGGGATTCTAGTGTTTTGTACCTACACAATTTCGTCTACAGTCCGCAAAACTCGTCGGCGTTGGATACGCAATACTCTTCTTTGGTACTTTGCTTGTGGTGAATTTAAAAGTTGGCGGAAGTGCTGTTTTCTACGTTGCCGAACACTACACGAAGAGCGGTTCAGATATACCCCCTTGGGTTACAAATAATAATAATAAATTGCACGGTGTGCATTTCAGCATCACCTCTGGCTCATCGGTCGAGGGGTCGCGTCGGAAGCGGTATTAGGAAGGAAGAAAGCGAAGAATGTCGGCAAGTTGTATGTCTTTGATCCACTCCTGTTGACCGATGCCCTCGTGAGCATGGAACTCGATGACGACTTTCTACCTATATCTGCGAGCCTCTTCTCCGTGGCAGGTGGGTTTCCAAGTGCTGCTCTGATGCCTTTGCTAATCTTTGAGCACGTCTTTTGAGTATCATTTATGCCTGCCTCTTGGTACGCCTTGTCGTTACTTTCACGACCCATTTTAGGTACTGAGTGCTCCCCGTCCCTAGCCAAGAGTAGACGTTTTGTGGTACGAGATTTTCGGAGTCTTTCTAACTCCAAAACACCAGTCAGTAAGTTGTTTCCACACTCTTTTTTTCGCTGAGAAATTTCATTTTCATATGCTGATTCAACACTCTGGAATAAGGGAGCCTTAACCATTGCCTTGAACCACTTTTCTTCATGATTCTATGCATGCTCCACATGTGCCTTGGTAAATTCAGGCCCATAAATCTACTTGGTTTATTTCAGAAAGCATCTTCTGTTGCAGAACCGCTGAACAACTACCGAGTTTTGATCGCTGCCTCAGATGGTCGTTTTCTCGTCTGTGCAACTACTAGCAATCCCGACGCCGTCTCTGAGAATGACGTCTGGAAGGTGACTCTCCTCTCCACCTTTAAACTAGCCAATCCTGGCGAAGCGGCCACTGCAATCGTGTAAGATGGTGTTGCTAGCGAGTTATTTGCCTCCTGTCTCCTCCTCTTGGTGTCCCGTTGAGCTCATACCTTGGAATAGCCATGACCTTTCCACTTTTTAGCTCTCTCGATCACCGTATCTGCTTGGGAGTTCTTAACTCCGCTGGGTCCAACCAGCTAGTGACTCTGAAATGGCATCTCGATTCGGAAACGGTGCCTGGCAACGATATCGAGTTAAATAGTGTTCTAAGGGCAACAGCTCTACCCCTGCCGAGCGAACCAGCTCCCCCTAGTGGGCCTATCCTTCTTTCTTCTATTTTTGAACGTTCCTTCTGTTGCCTTGGTACTGCGGGTGGAGGTGGTCTGCATCGATTTGACATCAATGCTGATGCATTTGTTGCTTAGTAGGTGTCTGATGTTTTATGAATTTTCTTGATTTAAATTAGGCTCTGTGTGTAAGACAACTCCTTCCATGTTCTCTTAGTTTAGCGCTACCCTCACAGACACCCTGCCTCCACGCCATCGCTGTTGACAACGAGTGTGCGACGTCTTCGGCTGAGACATCCCCTTTGTCGTCTCGTCGTCTCATTTGGCTTGCGGTGTCAGGTCGGAGTCCACCAACACCGACGACTCAACAGCGTGGCAGTGAAGAGAGCTGGGAGGAGGTGTACCTTGGACCCCTCTCTCGTCTCCTCTCAGTGTGTGCGGAAAAACACGTCTTCCTGCATAAAATCGAACTGACCAGTGTCCTCACCTCCATGATTGGTGAGTTCCTTGTCTGTTTTTCTTTCATGATTTCACCTTCTCTTACTATGGACGGATTTTTGAATGAATACATCAGTCCGAATTTCGGTGATGGCGCTTTAATGAAGACACTGAGGATAGCATAAGGCTCTGTGAGATGTAGGTGGATGCAGCTACTAGTACCAAGCTTCTGTTCTCTTTCCAGGTACAAACGGTGTGCTGGATCCGGTAGACCTCACCGTCTCACGTCTCCTTGTGCAGGGCACTCAGTACGTCTGGTTTGCCACACGCTGTGGTCTCATCGGTTACTTCCTCGTGGACTTCATTCTAAGCGGCGAGTCTACATGCACGTATTTTCTTATCCTATCTTTTTAACAACTTATTTCTTCTACCTTGATTCATTTATTCATTCAGAGGCAAATCCAGTCCCAAATGAGGTGGTGCCAGACCCATTTCTCATTTTTTTGTGTGATTGATAAAGACCGTCTCTTTTTTTTAGATGACGCAGATGGTTCACCGACGGAGGCTCTCAATCAGGATGCCATATTTCTCAGCTGTCATTCATACAGGCGTCCCGTCTCTGCACTGCTAGCTATCCGAAGTACGGATCTGAGTGGTTTCCATCGGTACCTCCCTGTCATTCCAATCAATTTACGCCTCTTTATCTCTGTTCTTAAGATCAGGAGGAAGGTAAAGAAAAAAAGGATACCACGTCTAGCAACCGGGGATCATTCTTGGTCGTTGCCGTTGGTCACGACTATTCGTACTTACAGACTTTACCGTTCACTCATCGAGAGTGCCCTTCCGAGTCTCCTCTCGTTTCTGGTGGGTCTACTTATTTTCAACAAGTAGAGTGTCAGTGTACTATTGAACAACTGCTATTATATAAATTAACAGAACGGGTCAGCTGATACTAAACAATTCAAAATTTGAGTCTCATTATACCAGAACCCTTTCATAGTGCAGGTCAGCCTGGTTATTATTTGTAATAGGAGTTGTGATCAATTTCAGCGGTGAACCAACGCCTTCACAATCGCATTGGTCCTCATGCTATTGTTTGGAGCATCTCCATATAACTGTGATAGGAGGTATTGGCCTGTTATGGAAAAGGAAAATGGGGTTACTTTATACGCTCCTCGAAATTACTTTGCTTTTCCTTCAGTTATACGCACTTATTTCCCCCTTAATTTTCGATTTCGGTAATTCTTCGTGCACTACCCTTTTATTTTTATTGCATTTGTTAATTTACGACCGTTCTTTTCTGACAATGTTTATCTGCCCAATTTACTCATAACCATGACATTCGAGCCTGTAAACCCAAATTTTTTGTCGGATTGGGCTTTCGAAATGAATTACCGCTTCGAGAAAGAGATTTAATCCAAACACTACACGTTTGGCAGTCTTTAAAGCGTCGTTTCCGCTGGCGTGAATGCTCATTCCACTTTGTCCGGTAGAATACCAATCGTAGCAAAAATAACTGGGTGCTGGCATCGTCGCCATCAAAGAAGAATGGTTTTGTAACAAGATGTGTGGTATTGTTGATTACACTCCGTCCCTCCTGATTCGCTACTATCAATGGTACTATGTACAGTAGGAATTTTGCCTCACGAAAATGATGTTCGGCTATTGGTTAGTAAGCAACTGTACAGCCTCTGAGTGTTGCGTTCCGAGACATCTCACAGGCTAGAAGAAAGCAGTAAGTGGGGCTGAATGCGTGTGTTTCAGGGTAAGCAAGGGGACTGGGTCTGAGCTGGATCCGAAGGCTGACCCACGCATAGAAAGACCGGACGAGTCTCAAAGTGACTACCAGGCATCAGCAGGTCATGTAAACAAAGTTTAGCCGTGAGACTTGTAGGACTGCACGCAAGGATAGCGAGCTGTTGGAGGAGATCAAAAGGAAGGATGGCGAGTGGTGGGTCTGGAGCACTAGTGAGGGTGCGGCAACTTTGGTGTAAAACGTAGGCATAAGTTCAGTAATATTCTTATTATGGGCGGTATCACAGGGTCCAGAATGAAAATCAATATGCCAGATTCTTACGCAAATATCACTCAAGGTTCGACTAGCGCACGCTTTAATTATAACAACATACCAGTTAATTGGGTTCAAATCTACTGCAAAAATATGTATTAAAAATTTTTTTAGGTGGGCATTTTGGAATTAAAGAACTTAAATATTATCGCAATTCCTTGATGGAATTTATAGGTAGCAACATTATACTAAGAAACTTTAACAAGCGTTGGTTTCCGACTTTATCTTATTACTTACTTTTATAACTTTATTGTTTTAATTTAGAAGTTTTTGTTTGCGGTGTTTGAATCTTGCCGTTGTATTGCTGCGTTTAGTTGCTGCGTATGTAGTGAGGGCTTCTTCCTTTGTTTGTGCGTCCTAGATTCAACTGTCGTCAACACCTAAAACTTTTAATTGAACTTTTGTCCTGAGGATGTATAATTGAAAATCGAAATAATTTTTATGGTTGCTAGATGACTTGGAAATGCAGTCCACATGATTTTTGCACTTGTTTCTGCTTGAAATGTCTTTTTTTTACTTACTATCTCAAAATCTTAAATTTTCGCAAAGAACTTGGTAATGTCGGGGACTGCTACTTTACCCGATGGTCGCCTGGTTGATTCGTTGAAAGTTGTCGAACTTAAGAAGGAGCTGGAAGTCCTTGGGTTGGACAAAAATGGACTTAAGAAGGATCTTGTGCGACGTCTATCTGCGGTAGCACGGTGTTTTAATAGCAGTCTGTTTTGTCGCTATTGTCTAATTATCAATGTCTGTTTATTTTCTTTGCAGGCGCTCTCAGATCCTTTAAATAATCAGCCCTCCTCTGGAGTAGAATTTGGCGAAAAGTAATTTATTGACCTTCTGTTTGACGAAATTACTTCATTTGCTAGTTATTAAGTTCACTTATCTTTTTTTAGGGTCTCGGACGAAATGGTACATCCTGCATTATATTTGTCGTCTTGTCGTTTTAACTTTCTCAAATGACATGTCTTCTGCTTTTAGATTTCTGCGGATGTTGCAGCAAGGGAGGAGTCTTCTTTAAGTCTTGATGCGAAATCGGGTAGGCCTCCATCACCTCTATTTGCCCTGAAATTGTTTTGCTTTAATCTTTCCGTTTTTTGCCTCTAGATCAATTGCCTGAATCAGACATGGATCAGGGTGAGCTTATTGCTGCTTTTAAGTGTACAAGTGATTTATCTTTTGTGTAGCTATGTTTTTTTAATCAAGGTTCACCTCCAGAACCCGATAAAAATCGAAGTAAGTTAGTCGTTACTCCAAATATGTCTAGAACCCATTCTTGATTTTCATCATATTTCTCTTAAAAAAGATGAGAAATCGAGGGAACAGATCGGAAGTATCAACGAGTTGGAGGCATCGCTGCTTAGCGTACACCACTCTCCGGAGAAGCTCGATCACGTAGAACAGGAGAACAAGGTAAATGGAACACTCATTCCATATGAATATTTTATACCTAAGTCCTACAAATAGTGAATGACGAACTTTCTGTGGAATCATTATTTGTGCAATTGTTTCTCTTTTTCGGTGGCAGGTCAATTTTGTCGGATGTTAGGGGATGATGATTTCTCAGCAGTTCATTTCATTCCCATCTTGTTTTCGTGCCATAAATAAGGCCTGATCATAAATCCGTCATTCATAACCTCCGATTCGAACTCACTCCTGGTGTCCTTTTTTTCTTAACTAGAAGTCAATCCAAGAGAAAGTGGAATCTTTAGTTCCAATGGGGGCTGTGGCTCCACAATCTGAAATCACTAATCCTCCGATGGCCCAAGAACACGTTCGTGGAAGCTCGCCACCGATTGTTGAGGTCATTGTCGGAATGCACGAAGAAGAGGAGGATTATGGGGATGAGGAAGAGGGAGAGGAAGTAGATAACTCTCGGAAGGAGGAACGCTTGGAAAAGTCCGTTTCTGTGGTTGATTCAGCTCCGAAAACATCTTCAGCAAAAGGTGATGCTAATGGGTCTTCCACCTTCAGAAAACCGGCTTCCCCTCCACCACCTAGCGCTTCCGTTTCGGCTTCAGTAAGGAAGGGTGAGTTTCCTAAAATATTCTGCAATTTTAACGCTTTGACTTGGCACAAGGGTTGGTTTTTTCCTCTCTAATACTGTCGAGGGCTGTGGACCCAGGGAAGCCAAACTTTTCTATCATAGGCACCCTGCTTGAAACCTGATATTTCTGTTCCAATAAGAAGGCACTCTTTAAGGGTATTCAAGGCCATTCATTACTGAGTTGCTAATAGAAGTCAGTTTATTTGCTCCCTTTATTTTTAACAGAGACCCGTGCAGTCGGTTTCACCGTGGAGGCTCCACAACGTGTCAATCCTGCAGCGGAGGCGAAGTGCCCACCCTCGAGCCTCGTATATATCCGCTGTCTTGTGCGTCCCTTCACTGCTGCCCAACTGGCCACCATGCTGGAGACACACTTCGGTCGAGCCTCCGAGCTCTGGCTCGATCGAATCAAATCAACTGCTGTTGCCCGTTTTCCCAACGAGGAGGTAGCTTCTAAGTGAGTGACATTCCGGCTCTAAACTATTCTCTGAAGACCAGCTAACGTGGGGAAACTTTCTTCCCATTCCCCAGGTGTCGTGACGGGCTGGACGGTTGTCGATGGCCCTCCATTAATCCACGCATCCTCCAGTGCGAATTCGCATCTGAAGCTCTCCTTATGTGGCTAAAAGAACACGGCGAGGCGGGTGATAAGCCTCCGCCAAAACACCTTCTAGGTGGTGGCAGTGTTGCCAATGTTGCTTTTACAAGTAAAATTTGGTGATTGCGTGGTGAAGTAAACCCCTCTTCTCAACATCTTTTTCCTCTTATAGATGAAAACGACAGCAGCGTCGAAAGAAAACGTCCGGAAAAGTCAGACGATTCTGAGATCATAGGTGGTGTAAAGAGACGCAGGATGCTTGGTGGAGATGGTGCGACAAAGTCGACGGAGAAGGGAGCAGAGGAGAGGAGCAAGCGCGATATGAGGGGTAGACCTCCATTGTCCTTACCTAGTCTAGAACGTCTTGATATAATTGTTTTACCTCCACTTTATTATTGTAGGAGAGGAGGCCTCCAAGTCCCTGGACGATCTTTTCAAAAAGACTGCAGCAACCCCGAGTGTATATTGGCTTCCCCTCACTGATGAAGCGGTAGGTTGGGCCATTTCTAATTCTCACCGGATTGAGAGCTCTTGAATTCCCGAACCTCTCTTGAATTCATCCCTCATTTTAGCTATTTTCAGGACCAGATTACCTATACAAAGGTACACAAAAACCGACTTGATTGTTCATAAAAAATTCTAGATTTGAAAAGAGATGCACATTGCTTCTGCCTAGGCTGCAGCACAGTTGAAGGCGCGTAAACAGACGTATCTGGCGGAGAGCACTCGCCGTCCTGTGCCCAAACGCAATGTGGAGGAACGAAGACGCGAAAATCGGAGTCCCTTCACTGGGGAATTCGGAAATGGGCCCACTTCTACCACTGCATCGAACCCTTTGCTTCCTCCTGACGCACCGGCGCGAGATAGAAGACCACGAGAAAGAGTAAGTAATAAACATGCCTAGAGGTCACGAGGATGAGTCGGGTATGACTCGCTACAAGATTTGGATGACTGTTGAACCTACTAGAGGCATTTTGCGAGGATCTTTTCTTCCTGTTGATTTGAGAAACGGCTTCTTGTATGAACAGACACCATCACCGGGAAACAAGCGTGCAATTCGCGATCGACGTCGTTCCCCCTCACCCAGACGACCGCGTTATGCTAACAGAACACCCTCGCCACGATTTAGCGGATCCTCCTTTGCTGCCTCAAACGCCACTACTGCCACTGCAGCTGACTCGCGACATCCGCCTCCACCGTCACCCCCGCCAAGCTACCGTCGACGCACCCCACTGCGTCGATGAATGGGATGGAGTGGAGACAGAGGTTCACAACCGCCTCCACCTTGATCCCAACCTTACCACCCACCATCTTTGTGTGTGTAATGAATTTAAAATGAAGTGTTTTTATCCGCTTCCCATCGGGAGTTAGCTGTTTCGTGGTGTCCATCAAAGAGGTGAACGAATTAGACAAAGCGAAATGAAACCATTCCCAGTTCCTCCGCTAGGCCTCAACTTTGGATTATCGATGTTGGGTAGTGGATTTGTAGATTTAGCAGTTCTCGCGGGAGAGTGAATCTATTACACTTCTTTGGAGTGTCTTCCAGACTTGGAAATCAACCACATCCGCTGTGTTCCAAATGGCAGTTACGAAATTCGAAATCACTATTCTCTTCCAACTGAACGGAAAGCTTATTGCGAAAATTACTGTTGTTCTGCATGACTATCTTGAAGGGAAAGAAGAGTACATACACTTACGGATAAGGCTAAACTATGACCCAAGCAACGTTGTAGTTTGTCCTACACTTGTAATGGCAAGGATATTCCTTGCAAGTGTCCATCTGTTCTGCTTGATCGTTGATCGTTTTGGGAGGGGCGTCAAGACGAGAGAAGACGGCTAGAGTTGTCGATAGCGTAGTCGACCGCCTGCGAGTTCAAAAATCTCACCAGAATGCCTGAGAAACAATGACTACGGTGAGTGACTGAACCGACAATACGATCATGAAGTCGGGTGTGGATGTGTAGCAAATGAACCGACAATGAACGGTTAGAAGGTAGAGATTGGTTCATGATCACCGTCTTTAGCTTTAATTGCCTCAAGTTAGTCAAGGCATCAAAAGTCACGAGACTTTAATTAATAGTTTGGTTGGAAAGGGATCCAACATTGGACGGCACATGCTAACCCACTGAAACATCCTCACGACGATGGAACCCGAACTCTGCTTAGCGCATGCAAGTAAAGCGCTCTCTGACGTAGGTAATAGCAAAGTCCGCCACCGTCTCACTTTTGGCAGGGGCACAAGGGGAAGGGAAAAAAAAGGTCTGAAGTTCATACTTCCTCCAAATGCGATGAAGAAAGTAAAAACGGGTACTATATGGGATCACAGATCACTGTCATTCATAATCAGTACACTCTTTTTGAATAGTAAATTATGAGTGTGGTTCCAGACGCATGAAAGACTAAAAGGAAAAGAGAAAATGAAAGCAGGTGGAGAAAGCAAGCAGGAGCAAATTTACAGGAAGGTTATAATGCTGCGAAGATAATCCGATTTTGGAAAGGATAGTTGTGGTGGTGGTGTGTCCTAGCAGCACGATGGTGGAGGCGATCTCTCGCCAGCCATGGCCACTCGCGTTCGGCTTGCTTGAGACGGGAGATCATAGCCCTCCTTGATGCCATCCCATCCACTCACGGTTCCCAACTACAAGGAGAAGAGAAATCACGGTATATACACCCTTAATTTTTACACCGACCGATGATGAAAGTCTACGTTACCATCTATTTAAGCAGAATTAATTTTTTTATTACTTGACAACTAATGGTAATTTGTTCATCTAAAATCTATTGAAGCGTACCGATAATCAGGAGGTGAGTGTGATCCCAGCTACAAGGTAAATCAGTATGTGTGACCCAAATTAGGATCAAGCAATATTCATGACGAATAAGACCCTATTATTCAGCCCGAATAAGTGATAACGAAAAAACTAATGAGACGGTGACCAGCATTCAAAGAAAAGAAATTTGAACCCTCTGAAATAGGCAATGCCAACAAAAAAGTGACTATGATTAAACAAGAACAACAGGAAAGCCAGACGCCTGAGGTAGCGAGATTATGAGCAATGGGGAAACACCTCAAGACTGTGAGGCCAGGATGATTCAAGAGGAGAATGCAAGGCTAGAGTAACAATTTCTCAACGATGAAGCCACACAAAATGAAACAATAAAAATTGAAGATAAGGTAATGAGAACGATGAACTCGCTGTCTGAGTAAAGCAGCGAAGCAAATAAAGATAAGTTTGATGATTGCAGGTGTAGGAGTTTACGACTGCCATTGAAGATAGGACGCTTTTCGAAAATGGATTAGCAAATAATAGCGGTACTGACAGCCCCGGGAAGAAATTGTAGAAACATTGACCACCGTCAGATTACAAAGGCGAGAAGAAACGATTAGGCGAACAATCGGGGTTGAGAATGGAATAGTAAGCAACCACTCCAAAAGATGGAGAAAGAACCAAATAAACTGAAAGAATGGAGAAAAATAAGGATGTTCTGACATTCAAAGTAATAAATCGATAAACCTAACAATGAAGATGAACTTGCAGCCAGAGAATTAACAGTGTTTTGAGACGTTTATGCACGAAGATGAAGAAGCTTAATCTGATAGCATTTAGTGAAAACCCAATATACCGGATCATTAACAGGACACCTGAAATAAACAGACGCCAGTGTACATAAAATACCTCAATTTTGTGAGGATTTAAGAACCCTCACATCTAGCTGAATTTGAGATGAATAGGCAAAACTCACATTCCTAAACGCTCCAGCCTGCATCTGTTGGTAGACAGTTTCTGTAAGGGCTTTGAACGCCGCCTCAACGTTTTGCCCTTGCAGAGCTGAGGTTTCGATATAGGAGATTCCAAGGGTCTGTGCTAGAGCTTCAGCTTCCATCCGTGATACCTAAGGAGGCGATCAAGGTAAATTCAGATTACCTCCCTCTGGTTTTCAAGATCCGACTTTTGTCCACAAAGCAAAAATGCTGGTGATTGGCATTTCATATTTGTCGCGGCGTCCTCGTACCAACCCATAACATGCTCGAATGATGTGTGATTCGTAATGTCAAAAATCAAAAGCGCACCCACAGCATTGCGGTAGTAAGACCGAGCGATTGATCTGAAAATTTTAAGAGGAATCGAAAGGCCGATTTACTTAAATTTTTCCTGACCAGCAGTATCCCAAAGGCGAAGCTTAATCACTGTGCCATTTGAAAGTACGATATTACGAGTAGAGAAATCAACGCCGACAGTGGGTTCAGCGAAAGAGGACAATTTACCCTCACAGAAGTATTGGAGAAGGGATGATTTTCCGACGGTACTATCACCAATTAAAATAAAACGAAACTGATAACTGAATGAAGGATTAGCCATCAGAAGCAGGCTACAAATACCCAACCCAGGACTTTCAAACAAGCAACAAAGACAGAAAAAGTCTCAGCGAGAATTTGAAGCATCAAAACAAGTCATAACTACAACAAATTATTTCAGTGCTATGCTCATCTATTTGTGTCGAATCATTAGACTTAAGAATATTGGCCCTATTGGTGTCCTAAAGCTATTCGAAAGAAATATTATGCTTTCCTTTAAAAAAAGTGATAGGAAGTAGATAATTAACTTCCATTTGTAATTCTAGGTATTTGATGTGCAAATAATTTCGACTTCTCAAAGAATCGGAAAAGTTACAATGCTTTGTTTATGTGACCACTTGAAGTTTGGCGATCACATTAGAATTCGTCTGGTCCTTGTGCACGTGAGTTGGCCTTCGGGCCGCGCTCAGACCCCATTTGGCGTGTCGTCTTCGGAATACATGTATTCAACCTCATTTATGCCGTCTTCCACCCTATGAAGAGCCTCGAGACGCTATAAAAGTAAACAAAAAACGCGTTCTTGAAACGCAATATAAATTTCTTGACAATAGATTAAAAGCTGTGTGTCTGGTTCTTGTACTCGTAATTTGGTCATCACTCCAAGTCAAGGCATAATCTCTTCTCGTCCCTTTTGACTGTATGCCTTCATTCCAACCTAATGCCTGTAATACTTTATGTGACGACATGACGTTTAGCAATCACTTTAGGATTTGTCTGGTCCTTGTACACGTATTTTGGGCTTCGGGTCATGCCCAGGCTCATTTGTTCTGTCATCTTTAGATTAAATGCATCTAACTTCACTTACTGACTTCTTATGCCGGTTAGGAGCATTCGGGATGTTGCACTGCCTTATTCTACCCAGTTCAGATTCTCGAGGCGCTGCACACGAAAGCCACAATATTCGGCCTTCTCTTTTGGATTCTGAGTTCTATAATAGAATGATTAGTGTTCCTCGTGTTCTACATTGCTCTCTCGAATACCTTGTGTGAATTGTGTAGCGTTTCGAGATTTCCTGGCAGGTATAAGCAGTCAGTAAGTGCAGATGGATACATGTATTCTGAAGACGACAGGACAAATGGACCAGATAAATCCTCAAATGACCGTCCAACTTCATTCAGTCACATAAGCAAAGTATTACGTATTGATCGATTTGCTTGCTATCATGATTCTTCCTTATGTGTTGGTCAAGCCTTTTGCTATTTAGTAAAATGTTGGAGGTCTCGTAATGTGGCACCTCTCTTTTTGCATCCGCCATTTCGCTTTACTCCTGTGTCACTCTTAACATCGAATGATGAGTTCTAGTTATTAGAGAGAAAGAGAAGAGGTTGGTCTTTGGTTTGGTCTGTAATGCTTTGTTCTTGTTACTACCTCATGTTTGGCGTTCACTTTACGATTTGTGTGACTCTTGTACTCGTGAGCTGGCCTTTGGGCCACGCTCAAGTCCAGTTGCATTTGCCATGTATCCAGCTTTACTTACTGCCTTCTTCCACTCCGTTGGGAGTCTCGGGACGCAACATGGCCTAAAGATCATTCCACGCCGTCTAGAGGAAGGATAATACTAAGGTGACTGTTTAATAAGTAAGCAAGTAAACAAAGGATGGCGTCTTGATTTGACGCAGGTATTACAATGTCTTACATCTCACTCTCACTTGTGCCCTTCCATTGTAGGAACTGCTTGCCTGTCCACATGTCCTTCATGAGAGGGTTAGTTGCAGTAGATTAATTAGGCATTGATTGCAGGAGGAACGGGAATGAGAAATATAGACGAGTTGAATAGCAGATATCACACAATCCTTATGCCCCGGATTTTGCGTTCGAATTCGCTTACCGACTCTGCTTCAAAAGGCATTATTTGGAATGTTATAGTTGTAGCGTTCCGAGGCTTTCCATAGGATGGAAGAAGGCATGAGTGAGGTTGAATACATGTACTCCGAGGATGACAAGGCTAATGGGGCCTGAGCGTGTCCCGAAGGCTAGCCCACGTGTACAGGGGCCAGAGCAAATCTAAAGCGATCGCCATACGTCAGGTAGCCATATGAACAAACCATTGCAATAGTATGTAGAGGGATCGGAGCGTGAGTAAGGCAAATTTCGGCTTTTATTCTGAAGTAGGATCTGTATCCTTCCATGGCATGTATGCGGATTAAAAGGGCCTCTTTTCTATGAGGATAATTTATGCACATAATGTGCAATCATTAGCAATGGACTATATCCAGTAAAATTTTGGGCATGGAAATGAAAAAGATTACTTGTTAACATTGGTGATCACACTGCTTTCCACATCTCGATGCAGCGCTCGAAGATCTCCCCCCAAGTAGAACACAAACATGCAATGCTTTGTTTAAGTGGCAATCTGATATGTGATGGTTGCCTTAAGGTTAGTAATGTCCTTGTACGAATAGGCTGGCCTTCGGACCAAGCTTGGGTTCATTTCCTTTGTTCTCCCTGGAATATATGTATTTAGATCCCCGTGCCGTCTTCTATCCTATCGGAAGTCTCGGGACGCTACAAAGCTGTTGAGCAGAACGCATCAATTTTTAGGAGAAGAAGTGGTAGGGTCTTTTCATGATCCGAAGGCCAGTTCACGCAAACAAGAGCCAAAATATCTAGCAGCTACAAAAATAACATGTCACACACTACTCAACATCCTCTCTTCTACTCTTAGAGTCCACGAATTCTGCATGCCCTACAGCTAGAGTGCATGCAATTTTTTTAAAAGAAAGAACAGCAAGCGGTAGCGCTTTTAGCATTGCCGATCAGCCAGACAGCCTACCTTAATGGCAGGTAGTATACAGTTGACGCGTAAAAAATAGTTCATTACATTAATGATGGCTTACTGAGTTTCGTGTACAACAAGTTATGCCTGCATAAATCTGATGTTTCACCTGTTCATTCCTCTGGCTGATGTGAGCTGACAACGAAGAATAATCCTCATATCGAATAGTTTTTTTAAAACTTCACTAATACCTATTCTTTTAACTGTCCAATAGTAGGTCGCGTTAAAGACCTCTTTATTTAATTGGGACTTACGTCAAGCTGGGGTGTGTCATTCTCTTCTATCTGGAGAATTCCCTTATTTATGTCTCACTCTTTCTATTAAGCATTCTGCATTTAGCACCATTTTTTGGCCTTGGAAGGCTCCTTAAATAGGTCTCATTGTTCACTTTCCTGTGACTCATGTAGTGTGTGTTCTTTTACATCATCTTTATGTCGATTGTATTTTAAATGTTTTTATTATTCTATTTCGTACTGGTATGGTTATCTTTTATTCATTTTATTATACTTGGTTCGCTGTGCTCTATTGTACTGGTTCCTATTTTAAGTCAAAATTCCGACATCACATATACCACTAATTTTAATCTAAGTGGTCACGCACACTTAGTTCTCAATGTTGCTACATATTCATTCTGCTCACTTTCTAGATGCTTCCTCCAATGCCACCCATGCAACAGCAGCAGTCACAGCTGCAATCAAATAATCAAAGCAGCTATCCGGGCTATATTTGCACTCAGGCTGCTCCTGATCCCACGTTACCATCAAAAAATCATTCCACTAATGGGTAAGACCTCTCTTTATAGCTCCTTTTTGCTTTAGCCAGCCTTTTTCCCCCTCATCATACGGAAACTCTAGTGATGCCGCCTTAGCAAATCAGGTGGGTGCTCTGAGCTTGAGCCACTCAGGCAGCACATACGCAGGTAGTAGTGCGGCACCGCCCCAGCAAAACCTGTTGAACAATTATCCTTCACCATTGACATACAACAGTAGTCTTCAGTCCGTGTCTCCGACTGCGGTTGGTTCTGCGATACCGCAGACAGTGATGGAGAATTCCCCTTCAATGCCGTTACCATCGGCCTCCCTACAGCCTCAGTACCTAGCACCACATTATGGTCAACCAGTACAGTCTACGCCCATACAATCACAACCATTGTATCGAGGCGGGTATCCGCCTGTGGGAATGATGCCACCAACACCACCAGCTCCCCAGCCCACTATGCCTCAGAAAGCGCAATCGGCCCGTGCGATGGCAGATAGTATGCCGAATGCCATTGAGGTAAATGTAGAGGTCTTAGCCCTATATTTGGGCTTCGCGTGCTTTCTCAGCTGAGGTAATCGGCTTTGATCGATGCTACAATACTTAAGTAACCATAATTTTATTGCACCCACATTGCATATAGCCCATTTACCTCTACAAATTTTTTACAAGTATTCTTTGTTACCTTAGTCGTTGCACTAAATTGTGACTTCGACGGATTGGCTAAAGTTAACAATGAATTTACCGCGGGATGGTTGTTGTCTGATGATGCTTGCGCGTTTTGTGGCAATTTTTAAGTCGATTTATAGTACTTAATTGGGGGAATAGAAATTGTGGGACATGAATATAACCTGTCACGAATCTACTCTTTTGATTATTCAAAAGCCTTTAATGGCATTTCCTTGAGTTCTAACAGTGTGTAGCTCACTGTTTGCCTAACGCTTTCTTGAGATAATTGGTTTTTCTCACCATCCTGTGAATAACAAAAGTTGACGGGAAATATCGGTTTTTTATGTGAGCATAGGAAGGCAACACATCGTCCCAGTTTTTCCTTGGAAAAATTTCATTTGTCCTCAGATCCTCAAATTTAAGAATTGCGGAATGCTCTTTCAATTATCTTTTGTGCTTCCACCCCTAAGATACAGAGTGATACTGAGATTTCCTACCTCTATCCTCTCAGGTGATCGAGAATGACCGAGCTCAACGCGGTGCCCTCTCAGGAGTGGTCTTTCAGACTGGCACGACGGGCGTGGCCCCACCTCTCTCCACTACCGACTTCTTATGTCGCGACGAGGGCAATTGTAACCCCCGTTTTGTACGCTCCTCCCTCTACAACGTGCCAACGACCGCGGATCTTCAGAAGCAGGTCGGTTTGCCCTTTGTCCTCAGTATTCAGCCCTTCGCACGTCTTCATCCAGATGACCAACCCCTCGTTCTTACCGACATGGGTCCACAGGTGAGATGTCGACTAGCTTTGTTATAGATGAACTGAGTTCAAGAGATGCAAGAAGTTAAAAGTTGGGTTAATTTGTTTTTTGGAAGCATGGCGATTGAAGTCAAATAAGATTATGTCAATTGGGTATTCATATTTCGATATCTCTGATTTCGAATCAGCAGGTGTTTTCAAAAACATAAAAATGATTCGAAGTGCTGTTTGTATCCAAGCTGAATAGCACGTCGTTCTAATTTCTGCTATTTAGGGTCCTGTCCGTTGCTCACGCTGCAAGGCATACATGTGTCCCTTCTTCGTGTTCATCGATGGAGGGCGTCGCTTTCAATGCAGCCTCTGTGGAGCGTCCACGGCAGTAGCACAGGAATACTTTGCCCACCTGGATCATACAGGCCGTCGAATTGATGCCTTCCAACGACCAGAGCTCTGTCTTGGCTCCTATGAGGTAGTTGCCACGGCAGAGTACTGTCGAGACAGCACTCTGCCTTTGCCGCCGGTTTACATCTTTTTGCTGGACGTGTCAGTCACCTCAATGAGATCGGGATTAGTCAACCTCTTCTGCTCCCGCTTCATCACCGACATCCTCCCGCATCTGCCGAGGTACCTTCTTTGCTTTGAAGTTATAATAAACAGGAGTTGGGCAAGAGTCAGAAAATGAATGGTTTATTAATTAGCTTTTGGAATTTTTCGAACTGAAATTGTCATACTGTTTAATGCGCCAATGTACTAGCATAATTTGGGGTTGGATTCTGAAGAATGGTTACTTTGACACTGGTCTTATAGTGTGTTGGAGAGTTTTTGTTTTCTTCTCTGCCTGGGTCGATGTGTGTTAGATTTGTAATCATCAATCCATTTTCCTCCTAGGGACAAGCAAGATATAGCCACTGGTGCAGCAACGGCAAACAGTACGACACCAATCTCCATTGGCTTCATAACTTACGATAGCCAGTTACACTTCTACAACCTTGTTCGGGTAAATTCGACTGATGGCAATTCAGTGGCTCTACCAAAGGCGCACATGAATGTGGTGGCGGACACTGCTGACGTTTTTGTTCCTTCCCTGGAGGGTTTTATAGTGGAACCCAATGCAGCCACCTTAACTCATTTGCTTAGCACTATTCCAGGTCAGTTCGCACAGCTGCAGAATGCTGCTGCCAGTGCCAATCTCCCAACGCCGGAACCGATCCTTGGGCCTGCGGTGCAAGCTGGTCTGGAAGTTCTAAAAGCGGCAAATCGGTGCGGAAAACTATTCATCATGCACTCATCGCTGCCTACTGCAGACGCACCGGGAAAGCTGAAATTCAGAGAGGATAGGCATCTCATTGGCACGGATAAGGAGAAGACTCTACTTCAACCGGCCACCGACTATTACACTAAATTGGGAAAGGACTGTGTGGAAGCAGGCGCCAGCGTTGATCTGTTCCTTTTCCCTAACTCCTTTATTGATGTTGCAACCATCAGTGAGGTGCCTAAGCTCACTTCAGGCAACCTTTTTAAATATTCATACTTCCAGGCCGATCTTCAAGGCGAACAGTTTATTGCAGACCTGCGAAATGCCGTAGCGTTGCCAGAGGCCTTCAATGCAGTTATGCGAGTTCGCACCAGCACAGGAACGCGACCCTTTGAGACGCTGGGAAACGTTAATCTACCCAACACAACAGATGTAGAATTTGCTACATTGGATGCCAACCAGACGGTGGCATGTGAGATTAAATATGACGATAAGCTCAGTGAGAACGACCTCGTCTTCATTCAGGTGAACTCTTTGGCGTTATTCCAATCTCACTTTTCCTCATCTCAACTTCCAAATTCTTAATTGTATTAGGTAGCAGTACTTTACACCTCGGTTGGTGGACACCGTCGCTTACGCATTCACAACCTCTCCCTGAACACCTCGTCAACGCCTGCAGATATCTTCCGTCTTGCTGATTTAGACACCCTCCTCACATGGCATGCGAGGCTAGCGGTACAACGTGCTCCAGTCAGTCGCTCTCCCTCTGCTGCTCTGACAGAGGTCACTGCCGCGGTAGCCACAGCACTCGCTGGCTACCGCCATCTCTGCACCAACTCGGGTGGCGGTGGGCCGGGTGGTGTTGGTGCCAGCCCTGGGGAATTGGTGCTGCCCGAGACCATCAAATTGATGCCGCTCTACGTTCAGTGTTTGGTTAAAACGGATGCTATTAGATCAGGTGCGTTGTCCAATTTATTAAGCTTAGTTGGTGGTTGGGTGCACCGTTGCTGGATTAGTAGTTTTCTCGGAGTGAAAGATGTTTTGTCGGCTTTCTTGTGCAGCAAAAAACACCTCCATCGATGATCGTGCCTACCTCCTTTTCCTGCTGAACGCAATGAGTCCCAAGGCGACAAATAACTTTATCTACCCACGAATTCACCCTCTTGTAAGTCGGTTTCCTAGGAGCCTTTTTGCATTTAACACAAAACGTCTATTTCCATTGATCTCTTCAACTCTTCTCAGCATGAGGTCGATCCAGCAAAGGCTGGCACTGAGTTGCCCACGCCGATTCGTTGTTCCTATGAGCGCCTGGATCCAGCAGGTGTTTACTTCATCGAGAATGGCGTCTACGCCTTTCTATGGTGCGGTCTTCAGGTTAATCCTGTGTGGATTCAGCGGGTCTTTGGTGTTACCGATGTCCACGTTCTGGAACCTGATAAGGTTAGCCTCAATCACCCTTTTCGACCAATTTGGGTACAATAGGAACTGACAACTCTCCATAACAGCCTTCCTGTCTGCTAAATGACCTTTAACTGAAAACGTATTTTTAGAGTTTGACGCTCCAAATAGTTGGCTACTCGTAAGGTGTCGGTAGAGGCGAGTTCAGAAGCATTGCCTCTTTCGGTGACTAGGTCTGCTCCTTTAACGAGAGTGCGCCCTCCTATCTCTTATGATTCTATAGGCTACTTTGACCGAGTTGGACAATCCCCTCTCAAAGTGCATTTGTCGCATGGTGCTTCCAGTGCTTTCTCAGTTCACCCATTTTCCTCGGGTAAGCCTGTTTTCCCCCTTATAACCCCTTCTTGTTCTTTCGACTTGAGCTATGCTACTAGCACTAAATATAAGTAGCGCTAGTTGCATCTCATTTTGCTGAACTATGAATTCTGTTTGTGTATTCATCAATGACAGTAGTTGAATCTTAACCTCCCAGGTGCCGTGTTTATTGACATGTTGTCACTATTGGCATCAGTAGTATCATGTCTTATACATCCAGCCGCTCAGGAGTTGGCAATATATTGATCTACCACTAAGCAACTTAGGTGGTCGTTTTTGCTCTTTTCAGTTACGCGTCATTCGTCAAAACGAACTATCCGAATCCTGGATTCGACGTCTCATGTATGAGGATCGTGACGATTGCGGGAATGCCACTTACGTGGAATACCTCTGTCACGTCCACAAGGAGGTTCGGGCCCTTCTCAAGTAGTACATTCTTTCTTTCTCCTCCCCCTTATTTCCTGTTTTGACAGCAGCTTTGCTTGGCATTGATAATAACATGTATTGACTTCCCTCCGATTATCTGCCTGCCTTTCATTCTCCTTACTTACAGCATACTCTGTCGTTAGGAAGACATTACAAACGATAACCGCCTATTTCAGTTAGCGCCTGTTTGGTTTTGGTGGAGATCTGAGCGACTCTTCAGCTTAAGTTGGGCAAGTGCAGCGTTCTCGTGCTTGTCAATCTCTTCCATTTCTTGGACGATTCGATGCATTTGTGACTGAATTTGAGCTTCATATTCAGGAGCCTTGCCTAAACTTCTCATCTCTTCAATGAAGGCCTGACAGTCTTGTAGCTCTTCGAATACTGTGTGGAGGTAATTCTAAGTTTTAAAGAAATTCTTACACTCATCAAAACGGTTGATCTGAGTCGGTTTATCCTCCATGGTTTTGGTGGATCGTTGCCCCCCAGTCTTCACGTCCTCTCCGTAGGCAAAAATGTATGCAAGCCGATCTTTTTCTTGGTCTCGACTTTTTAAGTCTGAGGAAATTCAAAATGCTTTTAAGGGAAGAAGGAGCATGATTTTAAGCTTTTACTAAAGGTGAACTGAAAAGACCTTTGGTGGGTCGAAATCTCGGGACTTCGTATGCACCGCTAGCGATTATCTTATCACGAGTTCGCAGGGCACCGATAACGGGGTTTCTAGATTTTAACTGCAATATCCAGTATTTTGGTACTTATTCAAGTGTGCACGCTTCGAGTCGCTTGGCTTCAAAGAGTCTTTGAAGTAGGACGGCAGGGGTTGACCCTCTAGAATACTTTTTTAGGGATTAGGCCACCTTACTTGAAACTTTTTTCTGAATCTCAGAACGGAATCTATTGGCCAATTTGGAGTCATTTATAAGATCTAGACATATTTATATATATAATTGTTCATACTTTTCAAAAAATCTGCCGTATCCTTACTATACTGAGTGATGTGGGAATCCCAAAGACACATCTGCCTCTCCATACTCACCGCCGTTACCTGAGTAGTTTACCGACCTTTCAGTTTGAAGAGCAACTGTGTATCAGGTTCAAAAAAACAAATTTTTCGAGATTAAAAATGCATCGCTGCTCTCTTCTAGGTCGTTTTAAAACACAACCGCCTCTACCGAAAATTAACTTAGTTGTGTGAGCGATTTGCAGACTGAAATCTTATGTTAGTTAAATTAAAATACTATAGCCGTATGCGATTTGCACAAAGGAAACAAGAAGAGCAAAATCCTCAAAATTTTCCGTACATGTTAAGCATTGCCTAAATACCTGCCTAAACTCATAGCAAAATCGATCTACCCGAACCCCCATAACAAATCAAGGCCCAGTGGCCCACAAGTCAGCATCCTGAATAGAGGCTGTCCCACTGTGATATATGCTAGTTCGTTTAAGTCTACTTTTATAGGTGAGAGGCGGGAACCAATTGGGAACACGAATTACGCGCGTGAAGCCGGCGAGATGCCTCCCCAACCGACATCTATCCGCCTCACCTGTGTGAGAACTGCTCCATGGTGCTTGAACCTCAGACTTCAAGAGAGTTGGTTGCGGATGATTTATTAGGCATTTGTTATAGGAAGGATGGGGAATGGGATGCAGATGAGGCGAGTAAGCGATATCAGTTGGAGGGAGACCCGTCGCCGGCTCCACGCACGTGACCCACGTCCCCGTTGGTTCCCGTCTCCCACCTATAAAAGTACACTTAAGCAAACTAGTATATATTACACCCACGGCAGAGACACCACCCCATCCATTCAGAGGCTTGACATCACATGCAAGTCATATGTGAGCTAGAGAGCAGTGTTATCAATAAAGTTGACAAGGAGGGCATGGATGTAGGGTTATGAGTATTATGCACTGGGAGATAGGCAAGATGAAACAGACAGTAACAACACAGACGGAAGTCAGCTGTTCGGCCAGCTGCAGCAGCAGCAGAGCCATGAATCACAAAAGGACAAAAACAGTCACCCAATCACACTACACCGCCTTGTTCCCCATTCGAATTCGAGACGTCTAAATGGAAAGAAAAACGAATTTATACCTAAAATCAGGGGCAATAAATTAATGTAATGGGTGCCTGCCATGTCAGATTGAAATTCACATAGAGGATAACAAAAACGAAAGTAGATGGATCATAGAAGCACCAAAATTAACGGAAATAATTCCCGTGTGTGCTGAGCCGTTCTGCATACACAAATAATTAACTATCGTTACAATGGGAGTGTAAACATCCATAGATCCCCGACAGAAAACTCAATATCACCGATATTTAGGGGAACATGCATATGAATAGCCATATCACGGAACAAATTTCAGACCGACATCAGACAGACATTATTTAAGGCAAAAGGACGGTAAAATAGATTATCATTGGTACTTGAACACGGCAGATCCATAGCTAAATGGAAATGCATTAGGAACCAAAGTATAAGAAACACATACCTGAAGGATGGAGACGATAACGCCGAACAGGCCAATGGCCGAAGCAAAGATCTCGATGATGAGTATCTTGACGAAAAGCGAAGGATTGGCGGCGTCAGCTAACGCAGCACCTGAGCCCACCACGCCTACACAGACGCCACAGAAGAGGTTGCACAAACCTACGGTCAGCCCTCCACCGAACATTGCATAGCCAGCTAGGTAGTTCGCTCTTACCACTGCTTCACTCACCACTGCGGGATCGAAAGGCTAAGCAAGACAGTATGAAGATAGGTTTGCCGTCCTTACAAGCTCAACAATTTCAGTTTATGAAATGGAAAAAATATCTATTCTACCGTAGCGATTACACAAAAAAGCCCCAAAAATCGTATATATGGCATATTTCCAGACATCCCAGCTGAGTGGATTCAGCATTTTCCTCTTATTGAGCAAGTGACTCAATTACATTTGTTGTTTAATCAAGGTCTATGGCAAAGAAGCTGTCGCAGTAGAACAGAAGCGACAACAACAGGGATGAAAATTCAGGTTACTCCAATATGTGGCCTGCAATATCCACTTATTTATCAGCAGTAATGTTTTCTTTCGAATGGTATTCTACCTTTACCAACCTCTGTTCCATGAATAATAGCTCCATTTTGTTGCCTACTACAATTTAAACTCCAAACTCTATAAATCAATCTGTGAAACACTGCCTTATCGCTGCGACTAAAACATCCAAAAGGACTCATCTGAACACCACGAGGAATAGCAGTATTAATACATACTATTTTTCGCTCCACAAATGAAGCAACAAACACAGAAGCAGCACCAGAAACTGAGGCCACTTTCTCAGAACCAGTGTCAATAATGCAACGTTTAAAAAGTGTGGGTTCTGGAAGTTAAGGAAGATTCAGTGATTCAGAATGTTACCATACTACCTCGTATACTTCCTTATAAATTCATCACCCATTCTATTTATAAAATACATCCATGCATGACTGAGGAAAAAAGTTGACATGACAAAGACGGTTTCAGAACAAATATCTTGAAACTGATAATGCCGAGCCCGTAGACTTTATGTGAAAAGCATTACATCAGGTTAACCATAATAACACAAGATAATCCTATGAAAGTTAGATTAGCCATAAGGAGAAGTCAAATTCCAAAAATAGCCTTGCTTAGGCATCTTAAGATCATTTTAAAAGCAACAAGACTTACCTCAATTTGATTGCCGATTACGATAGCCATGATAATTCCGTAAATCGCGACAGCTTCACAAAATATGATGCTGATTAGGTTTTTGGTTCTAATGCGCGGAGCTTTCACACCAGCGCCGATGATACTTGACCCGGTCACATAGATACCCCTAAAATTGATTTGTAATAGTGTAAGCGTTAATTGAAACAAAGGAGGAGTCATAATTCACCTTCAGAAAATTGAAAAGCTTAATAAACAACATTAGAAACAATAAAAAATATGGGGATTCGATCATACAAAGCTAATCAACGTGTATGTGGATAAATACCAAAGTTACCAAGCGGCACCGACCACTGAAAGTGAGATTGCGAGGCCAACACCGACACAGGCCCATAGGTAGGGCGAGATCCCCTCAAGGACCCAACCAATATCGAAACGATAACCATCTCCACTTAGAAGGTAATAAAAAGCTGTAAAATGTAAAAATGAAAGAGTGGCGCACCGATATACAAGAAGAATATAAGGGCAACATAGAGAGGACCAGCAACAACAACCGTCGCGCCCATCTTCGTGAAAATTGAACACAGCTACGTTAACGGCTTTAAAGACCAATGAAGGAAATAGTATAAACTGTGAATTGTAATCAGTCTGCCTGTGTTAAGAATTCCAAAAACAAAACTATGGAGGCCTTTCATTAAATTTGCACAACTAATACCGCTGCTATTAGAAAGTGTTGCTGATTCTTTTAAATGTTTGATACTCCTAGTTATTTGATGTCACATTATATTTATTTTGTCTATTTAAGAGTAAATTTATGTAACTTTAACACAATAATTATGTTAATTAGTCTTCCTTTTTCCATTTTTAAAACCAATTCAAATGAAAGAAATAACTAATCAATTCTGTATATTTGAATTCCAACTTACAGATAAAAAAGAGCTCAACATTCACAGTTTAATGCCAACAAATCCATATCATCTTCGAGTTTCCTTATATGGTTTACTATTCTAACTGTGTAGCATGAAAGTCTTAAGTGTCCATGAAATCGGACCCCAAGTCCTGGAAAATGTTGATCATTTTTCGCTTGGTATCGTTTGCGAAACGTGAGGGTGGACTTATGGAGATGAATAGCTGTAGTCCGAAGACGAGAGGGCAAAGGGAATCTGAGCATGGTCCGAAGTGACCGCCATTCGTCATGTAGTCACATAAATAAGCAGTACACTGCCCCTCTCTTCTTTTGAGCGACGTCCTCTTCGCTCCCGCGCCAGCCATCACAACACATTCGGTACTATAATAAAGCACCCACGAGTCATCCGCGCCCGTCGACGGACAACACGAGAGAGGGGAACCGCACCTGATCTTCTCGGCAGCTTCAACTGGATCTGGAGTTACGCTCAGTCTGACAACCAGATTTGGTGCCGCCTACGCATGTTGACCATCAATTGCTTCCAGGAATAGACGGCGGACCTCTGGCCTACAACAGATATGTTGCAGGGATAACGGGACGAGCCACTGTCCCGTATGCGAGGAGAACCG